GGAAATGGCAGGGGCTACCAGGCAGATTACCTAACTAGGGCTGATCAGGCAATTCCTATTGTCTGGTTTAAGATTTCGTTTCTGCAAGAGCTGAAACTGTCATTAAATGTCAGTTTGATGACATGGGGCTTTGCATAAAGGACTCCATTTGGGTCCTGTTGTCTTATTTGTAACAGTATGGAGCAGAGCTTCCCAGCTGAGCCCGACCTAGATAGCCAACTCTCAGCTGACCCCCACATCCATTTTAAAGCTGCTACATTTAGAGGTGGTGTGTTTCATGGTATTTTTGTGACTAAGTATAAGTATATATTTATTTTTTTCCCCACTTGGCTATGGTCTCAATGTTTGTGTCTCCCCCCACAAATTCATATGTTGAAATCCTAACCCTCAAAGGTGATGGTATTAGGATTTGGGGCCTTTAGGAGGTGATTAGGTCATGAGGGACAGCCCTTGTAAATAGGATTAGTGACCTTCTGAAAGAGACCCCACAGAGTTCTCTCGTCCTTTCTGCCACATAAGGAGACAAGAAGTCAGATAAGAGGAAGACCCTCACCCACCTAGGCTGGACCCAGATCTTCAGAACTGTGCTCAGTGTATTTCTGTTGTTTGTAAGCCATCCAGTCTGCATTATAGCAGCCTGAATGGACTAAGACACTTGGCAGTTTTTTCAAAGTAGTACCTATAGATTAGCCTCATTCTTTTTAACAGGTGCATATTATTCCAGTAGGTGATGTCTCATCTTTTATTCATTAATAAAAAGATTTTTTGAAAGCCATTCATAAGACAAAGAAGGAATCATAACAAATTATAAAATTTACTACATAGCAACAACTGCTAAAGAGAAATCTATTGTCTGTGATGATATGAATGAATCTTAACAGACAGAAGGTTGAGCACACCTGTGTGATTCTTTTTATATGAAGTCGAATAACAGGCAAAGCTATACTAATGGTGTTAAAATCCAGGATAGGGGTTCCTTTGGAGAAGAGAGGGGACACTGGCTGGGAGGGGACATAGAGAGCCTTTCAAGGTTTCTGGTCTTGGTGGTGGTTACTCAGATGTACACATAAATGAAAGTTATTTGATCTTAAGATTAGGGTGTTTTGCTGAAAATAAGTTATACCTCAATAAAAAGGTAAGTTTAAGAAACTAAAATGTGAACAAAAATGACCATCTACACACTCCAAATATAACATTCTCAGTGTAAAAAAAAAATTTGAAATGATAACAGAATGTAAAAATAAATAACCAAAAAGACACACACAAAAAACCCTGAGATGCAGCTAAAGCAGCACCTAGAAGAAAATGTATAGTTACATTAGTAACTATCAGTTTGGAGGGACTGGGGAGGGACAGTAGGGGAGCCATGAAAGACTATCCTATTTGCCTGTCTTTCCCTGCCACCCCACCATGTGGGCCTGACACCCAGTCGGCTACACAGCTACTGCAGGCCTGGCCCTGCTCTTGGGGAACAAAAAGGGGTGGGCAGGTCCTTAACGGTCAGTTCTGCAGCTGGCTTTGATTCACAACTTGCCCTCCATGAATCATATACCGCCAGGACTGGGAGAGGACATTCGGTGCTGTGTGAGGAAAGCATTCTGGAGTGGTGGGCCATAGGGGTGGAGGTGGCAGCCTCATCGACAGGGAAGGGACAGGGACAGGGGAGGTGGGGGAGAGAAAGGGAGGGGTCGGGAGCAGGGCTGCTGTGCAATGCCAGGGCTTGAGGGTGAAGGGAAAGCATGCAGGCTCTGGAATTCCAGAGTATTGGCTGTCACTGCCAGTGACAGGATCGTTCCCTTGCCCCTTTTCAGCCTCAGCATCCATCTGTAAAATGGGGCTTTGGCATGAAAGGTGGTATCAGAAAGGGATTAGGAATATAAGGCCTGGGATTGACTACCTGGTCCACACTACTTCCCAGCAGTGTGACTTTGGACAAGTGACTCAACCTCTCTGGGTTTCACTTTTCTGATTTGCAAACTTTGCAGTACCTACCTCATAGGACTGTTGGAGAATGAAATTGGTTAATACACATAAAGTGCTTGGACCCTGAAGCCAGACTGCTGGGGTGATGGAGGCATGGGGAAGTGGATATGAATTATCAGGGCCTAAAGACTTGGACAGGGGCTCTGGACTGACAATATAGTATGGCCTTCCTGAGAGGCCTAAAAATTATTTCCAGCAAATCCTGAACTTACTCTCAGCAGCCCTGTGCCAGTTTGATTCCAGCTCTTCCACTTCCCAGCTCTGTGATCTTGGGCAAGCCACTTATCCTCTCTGAGCCTTATTTTTGGGAGTGTTAAATGAGTTAATATATGTAAAGCACTTAGCATATTATTTGACTTATAAGCATGCTCCATAGGAGTTAACTGTTCAAGTGGGGACTATGGAGTGGCCACTCAGCCTCTGTGCTAACCTCCTTCTAGCACATCCTGTTTCCCAGAGAGAGTGTAATTCTGGGGGTGAGAGGTATTCCTGGAGGCCTAGCCTACAGCCTGTTCCTTCAGCCTTCCCAGTGATTTTGTAAGCACCTAACATATGGTAGCAAAGCACTTTCTGCTTAACTGGATGGAGTGGTAAACCTGCTATTTCCAATTGAGTGGTAAATCTACTATTATTTATTTAGCCAACGAATACTCATTTATTCTGAGGGCACTGGGGAGCCATGGCAGGTTCTGAGCAGGAGAGGTCACCAGGTAGGGAGTGGGTGGGAGGGACAAGACTAGGGCTAGGGAGGAGGCTAGGGCAGGGGGGAATGTGGAGGAGATCTGGAGCTAGGGTAGGAGGAAAGATGGGCAGGCCTTGGAGACTGACAGGCTCTGGGTTGTGGGGTGCGATGAAGATAGATGGTGGGGGCTATAGTGCTCCCCAAGGCCAACTGTTCCTAGGATACTCAAAGATGATAAAGCAGGTAGAACTCAGGACACAAGGTCCTGCTGGGGTGTCTGACTGGCTCAGCCCAGGTCATGTGACTGGACTCTTACAGCAAAGGATTCTAGGAAGCTGAGTTTCTGACATTTTTGGCTTCTTCAAGGGCAGCTGTCACATGCTGGGGAACTCCCCACTCAGAGAAAGGGCTTCTGACGCTGTGTGGCCAATAAGAATATCAATGCCCCCATAGGGGGCTGCTACAGGGTCTAGGGAGCTGAGCTGTGCCACCTACCAGGTACATGAATGGCTGGATCCTGTCCTCCCCTGCTCACAACTGCCAGGCTCCCATCCCTCTCGCAGTGGGATGGAAACTCCTCTAGGGTCCCTTCGGGACTGCTCCTGTCCTGTCTCCTACCTCATCTTCTTCCTCACACTCTCCCCTCTGCCCCATCTGCTCCAGCCCCCAGCCTCCTCCCTGCCTCTCAGCTCTGCCAAGTCACTCCCACCTCAGGGCCTTTGCACTTGCTCTGCCCCTTCCAGATCCCCACCTGGCTGGCTCCCTCCTCTCCCTCAGGCCTCTGCTCAGATGTCACCTCCCCTAGAGAGTCCTGACCTGACTTCCCCGCTGTACCATCACTCTCATCCCTACTGGCTTCCATTTTCCTTTGAATCCCTATCACACCTGACATTTCACTCTCACTGAAATGTCACCTCCGTGAGGGCAGGGTTTTTAGTGGTTTTCTGCTGTGTCCTTAGTAAGTGCATAATAAATAATTGTTAAAATGATAAATGCATAACAATTCTAGACCGATTCCTTCTAGTTCTCTGGGCCTCAATTTCCCTGACCACAAAGGAGAACTTTTCCACTCTGACTTTGCTGGGAAGGGACAGTGGATGGAGAGATCAGGGGCTGGGTCCCAAGGAAAGGGTTTTTAAGGAGCCCCCTCCCTCCCAGAAATCTGGGGAGAGGCAGAGAGGGCCCATTTACCCTAGGTCAGTCCCCATCTGTCTGGGAAGAAGTGGGGGGCGATAAAAGGACACCAAAAAAGATGGAGGAGGGCCGAACTGTAGGACTGGAATGTCCTCAGTCACAATCCTGGCGTCCTCCTGCTTCCCGGATGTGCCAGCTCGTCCTGCAATCCTGGCACCTTCCAGAAGGAAGCTGCTTCCTCTATGCATGCTCCCCTCCACAGGATCCCCTCCTCAGTCCTTGGGGTCCCCGTCACAGCGGAGGTGCCCGGAGCTCCTGCTCTGCCGGGATCTGCAGAGTTGGGCACTCTGACCCAGTTGCGGCCCAGCCCCGTCCCCTGTGGGCGGGGACAGCCTCCAGGCCGCGCTTCCCTTGTAAGGACGCAACGGGGACTGCAGAGCCGCCTGGTTATAATTAACCCGGACACGTGGCGACCCCCCCCAACACCTGTCCCCGTGCCCCTCTATCCCCAGCGCTCCGGGTCTAGGTCTCTGCAGAGGAGACAGCAAAGCGTGCTCTAAAAATAAACTCCCCTTCAGGCTCAGTGCCTGCCTGTGGCCCCCGCTGCCGGTGTCTCCCAGGGTCTCCCCTATGGACAGAGTGGGGACGGCGACCACCACCTCCAACTCAGGTCTCGAAGTTGATGAAGCCCCTCAACCCAGACAAGCCTCAGTTTCTCTCCCAGTCACTCCTCAGGAGGAAAATGAATCTAAGCACAGGCTTCCGGGGTTCGGCTGCCCTGCTTCCAGCCCTGGCTTTGGTCATGCGTTCCCCACAGCTGTGTGACAGCGGGCAAGTCTCTGGACGTGTTTCCTTCTCTGGAAAACCAGATACCTGGCCCTCCAGGGGCTGTGTAAGGTTTCCTGAGGGGCAGGGCTCAGGACCTGCTTTTGCTGGGGTCAAGGCCACTGGGGGTTGAGGAGAGGCCTGGGCACAGGAGGGCCGGGGTAGGGTGGCTTCTACGTGCCTGGGACATTCCCTGACACTGTCCCGTGTCCCCGGCGGGGGGCCAGCTGTAACCTACCAGCCCAGCTCAGCACTTAGTCGGGGGATCAGCTTGGTGGGGGAGGCCTGGGGAGGCCCATACAAGGCCATGGGGCTGGGTGCAAGGCATGCCTGGGTTCAGGGTGGGCATGATGCCCAGGCAGCGAGGTGAGAGTTTCAGCTGCCATCCAGCCACCCTCCCTGGGGGCAGCCCCTCCCAGCCAGTAGCCCAGCCCGGCCCCCCCATATAAGACCAGGGCTGCGGGCCCTTCCCTTGGGTCAGTGTTGCCTCCAGGATACAGACAGCCCCTTTCAGCGCAGCCCGGCCAGGTACCTCCTGGGGCGGGAATCCGGGTGGGGTTCAGAGTCAGGTGGGGGTCCTCATGGTGCCAGCAGCCCACCTGGCTTTGGAAGGGGCTTCGTGTGTCTACCCCCATCCTCCTACATATAGGTGGCTCAGTGTATGGGAAGATAGACCTTGTGTCTGGGAGTCCCCCCATCTGCGAGCTCCCTGGGGCCCACTGGAACTTGTGATCTCTGTGGCCCAGGGTCGTCGGGAGGGATCCCAGAGAGGGAAGGAATCTTGACAGCTGCCAGCTGTCATCTCTTGCAAGGAGCTGCAGGGCTGGCCTGTGTTTGTGAGGGTTTGTTACCAGAACTGGGTTTCACCAGCCATGGGAGGTATCTGTGTGTCACTTGTCAGGGCTGTGAGAGCAGGCACCGGGGGATCTTTGTGTTTGTCACGTGTGGGTTCCTGTTGTGTCCCACAATAGTGTGACCTTGTGTCTGATTTTCTGTGGTTCCCGCTTGGGTGCTTATATCCTGGGTATGCTCCTGAGCATGGAGGTGCATGGGGGTAACTCCGTTCGCAGTGGGATCTGGGGGTTCATGGTAGGGGTGTGTGTATGTGTTTGTGTTTGTGTGTGTGTGTGTGTGTGTGTGTGTTTGTAGTTCTGGGGCTATTTCTGTTTGTGTCTCTCTTGGACTCGCCCACCTTGCCTCAGTGCCCAACCCTGGCCTGTCCCTAGCAGGATGGGGGCTGGATGCCCTCTGGAGGGGGGTTTCTGGGCTAGAAGTTCTTGAACCCCAGTGCGTGTCCTCCCAGCCCCCCTGGCCCACCTGTCTCTAGCCTGCTGACTTTGTGCAAGCCGAGCCCCTGGAATGTGGGGGGTAGGGTGGGGGGGTGGCAGCTGGGGGTGGGGAGGAGGCATCTGCCAGACTCTATTAATAATCCTCAGCCCTGGACAGCAGCTCCAGAGGTTTTTGGTGGGTTCCCATCTCCTGGGCTGTTGCCTCAGGCTTCAGCTTGTCCTGGTCCCCATTTCCTTCACACATTCTACTGGTTTCCATTCTTGGAGCTGGGAGTGGGTGTCTGCATTCTTACTATTGAAGGATCCCTGCTTTCTGGGTCTTGGGAATAGAAGTAATAAAAACAATCATAGCAGACACCTCTTTAGGTATCATGTCCCCAGTCCATGCCAGGGCACGTGCTCAGCCGGCCACATGCCTGAACTCGAAGAATCCTCCTGGCACACCCCATGCGGAAGGCTCAGTTCATAGGAGACAGAGGCTCAGAGAGGCTGAGCAACTGGGCTGGGGTCACCCAGCAGGGACATGGCATTAAGTGGGATTTGAACCCAGGTCTATTGGATTGTTCTCAACTGAGTCCTGTGGGAGAGCCATTGGAAAACAGAGATGGGGACAGCCACCCAGCCCTTCTTTCCACCCTGCCCCTCTTCCTTGGGCTGAGCACCCAAGAACCTTCATGGAGAGAATGTCCTTTCTCTGCTCACACACTCATTCCTAGCAACACCCTCACCTTCTCACCGGCTCCTCACTTAGACCTTTAAAATAATAACAATCATTCTAAAAATAACTAAGCAAAATAATGCTTACTGTGCGCCAGGCACTATTCCAAGTGCTGTACATAAATTAATCCCTTTAATCCTCCCAACATCGCCATGAGGTGACTGCTATTTTGACTCCCATTTTACAAAGGAGTAATTTGAAGCACAGAGAAGTTAAGCATTTGCCCAAGGTCACACAGCTTGTTGTAAGCGGCAGAGCTGGGATTCAAACTCAGGTTGTCTGATTCCAGAACCTACACTCTTATCCATGCCACAATCACTTCTCTGGCTCAGAGGTTCCCGCCTCCATTTTCCAGCTGGGGAAACCGAGTCTCTAGCAAGGTTACTAGTCCAGGGTCACCTGTCAGGGTGTGGGAGAGCCAGGATCCTAACCCAAGACCCCTGATGCATCCTGTCAAGATGCAGAGGCTCGGAGAGGGGACCCCTCTGGGCAGAAGTCAGGACTGGCGGTCAGGCCTGCCTGACACTGAAGCCTCGCTCTGTTCCCTTGCTGGTCTCTGCTGGATGACAACTAACCCTCCCCCATCGCCTTCCCCCCAGGCCCCCCACACTGCCACCATGCCGTTCGGTAACACCCACAACAAATTCAAGCTGAACTACAAGCCTGATGAGGAGTACCCAGACCTCAGCAAACACAACAACCACATGGCCAAGGTGCTGACCATTGACCTCTACAAGAAGCTGCGGGACAAGGAGACCCCATCTGGCTTCACTCTGGACGACATCATCCAGACAGGTGTGGACAACCCAGGTAAGCCTCTGAGGTGGAGCATTACAGGCACCTGGAGTGGGGGCTCTGGAGGTGCCTGCCAGGCGTCCAGCCCCGCTCCCTGCGCCTCTGTTGGCCCATCTAGGAAGTAAGAGAGGCATTCGGGTCTCTTATAATCTCGGGAGCTGATAGTCTAAGGTTCTGAGAAGTTCTGGGGGAAGATTCCATGACTTTGGGACTCAAGTGGCAGTACTTTTAGTGCCTTGTAACAGGCCCTGTGAGACTCTCCTCTCTCCTCTGCCCTGCCCCCAGCATTGCCTCAGCCCAGAAGCCACCTTGGCCTCTCCCAGCCTCCCCTCCCCATCCCTACCAACTCACAGCCTTCTCAGGGCTTGAATGAACCCCTGCGGGGACACACACACGTAGAGTCCACCCCGGATCAGGGGCCCGGGCCTTCCTCGCTGGGGACCAGCACCGCTGACCTCACCTCGACCCCCAGGTCACCCCTTCATCATGACCGTGGGCTGCGTGGCCGGTGACGAGGAGTGCTACGTGGTGTTCAAGGATCTCTTCGACCCCATCATCCAGGACCGGCACGGGGGCTACAAACCCACCGACAAGCATAAGACCGACCTCAACCATGAGAACCTCAAGGTCAGCTGTCTGGGGCGGGGGTGGGGGCATCGGGGAGGGGGCAGAAGGGCGAGGAGGGCGGGAGGACAGAGGCGGAGAGGGACAGAAGGACGGCAGTGGAGAGACACACACCCAGGGAGATGCGAAGAGAGAGAGAGACGGACAGAAGGGCAAAGAAGACAGCAAGGGACAGAGTGGGAAGAGAGGGGGACGGCACAAAGCAGACATGAGGTAAGGGAGAAACAGGCACAGAGAGGATGGAGTGTCAGATGGGAGGAGGAGAGCTGGGCGGCAGGTGCGGAGGGAGGGGTCTAAGCAAGCAGCGGGCGCCCCAGAGGGGCGGGAGGTTGGGTGGGGCACGTTCTGGGGAGGGGCCGCGGGCGCGCTGGAGGGTCGGCGGGTCCTGACCCGCACCCGCCCTCCAGGGTGGAGACGACCTGGACCCTAACTACGTGCTCAGCAGCCGCGTCCGCACCGGCCGTAGCATCAAGGGCTTCACGCTGCCCCCGCACTGCTCCCGCGCCGAGCGCCGAGCGGTGGAGAAACTCTCCGTGGAAGGTGAGAAGGGTGGAAGGGTCACCCAGCTCTGGCTTTGCTTCTCCATGAGCAGGTCCCTGGGTCCCCTGGGCCCCACTTTCCAAAACATATAAAGAGCTTGATACATCACGGGTACTTGGGGAGTGGCAGCTGGCGTCATTGCCCCTGCTGAAGTCTGGGGGACTGTCAAGAGTGTAGGTGCCCTGAGCAGATCCATGCTGACATCCAATTTCACCAGGGTCCTGACCTTCATCCACTCTTCTATCAACCCATCCATCCAGCAACATGTATGGTTGTTCTGGTCTCGTGTGGGGAGCTAATGCTCCCAGGATGGATGAGATAGACAAGCTCACTGCTGTCATAAAGCACTCAGCCTGGTGGGGACATAAGAGGAAACAGACATGAACAAAAGAACAAGATAATTCCAAAATGCCATAAAGCCAAGAAATAAGGGGTGTGGCACAGAATGACTAGGAGAGCTCCCTTAGAAAGGAGGAGTTGATTGACAAGAAGGAACCTGGAAGAATTCCAGGCAGGTGGAACAAGCAGGTGCAAAGGCCCTGAGGTGGGTAAGTGTGTTGGGGGAAACCAGTGTGGCTGGAGCCAAGTGGGCATGGGGTACAGGGGAGGAATGAGAGCGGAGGGGCATGGGGGGCCAGTTTGTGCAGAACCTCCTGGCAGCTGGGAGGGCTTTGGCTTTGACTTTGACTCTGGGGGAGGATGGAAATCATAGGAGGGTGGTGAGCAGGAGAGGGAGAGGTTCAGACTTACATTGGGCCCTTTGCCTGCTGAGAGGGGTACAGACTGTGGGCAAAGGTGGGGGCAGAGAAACTATGAGGAGACAAGTGCAATGGTCCAGGCAAGGGGTGAGGGGTAGGCAGTGGGATGGGAAGAAGGGGAAGACGTATATTTGGGAGGTTTGATCAGGGCTTGCAAGCTGTGTTGTTCCAGTAAATGTTTAACAACCAGCTTGCAAAAAAGCCCTGATTTGCAGTGACTGCCAGTTTCTGTGGTGTAAATTCTCCTGCGCTGGCCAATTTTAGCTATCAACATGACATCATACAGAAACGGGAAGAGATGCATAGTAACACATCATTATATAATATTTCCCCCACACAGACAATAGATGAAAATAACCTCAAGAACACAGATAATAGTAAATGTAAAATAATTAGGCAGTGATGGTTTTGAGTTATTACCTTTGTTTTAAATATAATTTAATTGTAAGTTTATCTACATTATTTTCATAATATAATATAGTATATAGGATGTGATATATAACATATTACACAGTAAATTATGTAACAGAAATGCATATAAACATAAATACATTACATACATATATATCATATGTACATACAAATGTACATACAAATATACATAATATATTTCTTCTACATATGAACATATACAAATACTATATATATTACATTATAATGCTCTTTGCTGATGGCTCCTCAAATTTCTGAGACTGTCCATCTGTCTTGCCAGCCAGTAGGAGGGATGCTGGCATACTGTTGCTGCCACTGAGCCCACAGTGTGGCTAGACCTTGGACCCTGGGCAGACGGGGGAGGGGCCCACTTTGGGCAGAAGTTATGAATTTGGGACAAGTGTGCAGGCAACTTTAAGACACGCACGAGGCCAAGACCCAGGCCTGGGTTGAGGTGGGCCAGGCTGTTGACCACTCTCTCGTGCGGCCCTCCAGCCCTCAACAGCTTGACAGACGAGTTCAAGGGGAAATACTACCCTCTGAAGAGCATGACAGAGCAGGAGCAGCAGCAGCTTATCGATGATCACTTCCTGTTCGACAAGCCCGTGTCCCCACTGCTGCTCGCCTCAGGCATGGCCCGCGACTGGCCGGACGCCCGCGGCATCTGGTGAGGCCCCCCTGCCCCTCCTCCCATGACCATCTGCACTTCTCCATGAAAATCAATACTGTACAAACAATTACGTTTCCAAGTACCCAGAAGATGATCTCATACTCCACCCCTGCAGACCCTGTGGTCTGTGTTGCCTACATTTTGGGGAACTTGGACCAGAGGAGTGGCGGTGAGGAACTTGGACTGGTACCAGACTCCCTGGATTCAAATCCCAGCTCTGGCATTTGGTAGCTGTGTGACCCTGAGAGTCCTTGATCCCAGGACTGGAGATTTCACAGACCCTGTGACGTTCGAGTTACAGGTGTTAAGCTTCGGCGGCTCTGAGGAATCCCACAGCCGCACCTTATGCTCCTCAGTCCCGCTGTCCTCTGGCGGTGGGTGTTTGCGAGCGGGTGGGAACGGGGTTTTAACGCGGAACTGATTCTTCGGCGTCTTGCGGCGCCACACCCTAGGCACAATGATAACAAGACCTTCCTGGTGTGGGTGAACGAGGAGGACCACCTCCGAGTCATCTCCATGCAGAAAGGGGGCAATATGAAGGAGGTTTTCCGCCGCTTCTGCGTGGGGCTGCAGAAGGTGGGTAGTCGACCTCTAGCGGCTGAGTTCTGACTCCTCACGAACGCCCCACCCACTTCACAAGGCCCCGCCCCTAAAACGCGCCCCACCCACTTCACAAGGCCCCGCCCCTCGTGAGTCGGCTCCTCCCCAAACTAAACCTCCGCCCACTTTCCAAGGCCCGGTCTCCGGGAGGCCTGCCTCCACCCCTATGCCCAAACCGCGTCTCTGAAATTATCCGCCTCCAAAGCGCCCTCAAGCCCAGTTCCCTGAGAATTCTGCTGCCACCTGTGTCCTCAAAATCTCAACCTTCGGTTTTCCAGCCCTGCTCCCTAGGAGCCCCACCCCCACCCACGTCCTCATGCCCTGTCCTTCACAGTCCGGTCCAGACTGCGGGCGTATTTTGGGGCGTCCGCTGGTGCTGACCCTGGTCTTCTCCCCCTACCTCAGATTGAGGAAATCTTCAAGAAAGCCGGCCACCCCTTCATGTGGAACGAGCACCTGGGCTACGTGCTCACCTGCCCGTCCAACTTGGGCACCGGGCTGCGTGGAGGTGTGCATGTGAAGCTGGGGCACCTGAGCAAGCATCCCAAGTTCGAGGAGATCCTCAAGCGTCTGCGCCTGCAGAAGCGGGGCACAGGTGCTGCCCTCGCATCCCCACATCGCGGCGTCCGGGGCGGGCCCTCGGAGAAGGCGGAAGGGGAGGTGGGGCATCCCCGCGAGTTCTGGGGGCCGGCAAGGGCTCCCCCTCTGTGAGCCTGTTTCTTCCTCTGTAAATGGGCATCAACAGGCTTTATCTCATAGGAGATGATATCATCATGGTTACGTAATACACATTGGGTATGTCTCCGGCCCCCTAGAGGCCTCAGTTTTCCATCTGTGAAGGGGAAGGTGGGCAAGACTCGACCCCAAGCAGCCGGTTCCAGACTCTTAACCACCATGCTAGATTTTTATGTTGGATGGTTGAAGGGTGAGGTAACTAAGCCGGAGACGTGGGCTCATGAATAGAGAGACATGTAGGAGGCCTTCAATTTTACAGTAAGCACTCAACACAAGCCGCGGTCGCAGTTGGCAAAGGGTCGCGTCCTGGGTCCCTGCTTCCCACCTCTGCTCCCTCCTTACGCCCATGCCTCTTACTACCGCAGGTGGCGTGGATACGGCTGCCGTGGGCTCGGTGTTCGATGTCTCCAACGCCGATCGGCTGGGCTCATCAGAGGTAGAACAGGTGCAGCTGGTGGTGGACGGGGTGAAGCTCATGGTGGAGATGGAGAAGAAGCTGGAAAAGGGCCAGTCCATCGACGACATGATCCCCGCCCAGAAGTAGGCGCCCAGCCTGCCCGTCGCCGACCGCTGGAGCCCCAGCCAAAGGGAAGACCCGGCCCCGCGGAGGCCCACCCCTCCACCCTTGCCCCGCCTTCTTTCCAGGGTTGGGAGTGCCACCTATTCAGGTTCCATCACCTGGGGCTCTAGCCACCCTTCTCGGAGTTCCAATTCCAATCAGAGTTCCAACCAATGGGATCCATCCTCTGGGTTCTGGCCAATGAAAAACTTCCCTCAAGTCTTCCTCTGAAAGGTCCCCAGCACATCTGGAGCTCATGCCTTTTCTCCACTCAAAGCAACAAGTAAAAGCAATGGTGGCCTTAGCTTTGTGTGCGCTTGTTATCTGAGAGAAGACGGGACTTTTACAATTGACCGTTGTGAGACCTCGAAGTGTCTTGCTCTCTTTCGGCATGTACTAGGAATGTTCTATCCCATCTTTAAAACGAGGCAAAGTGAGGTTATGGAGTCTAGTTCAAAACCGATAAGGTCTTATGGGGAATCTGAGACCCGGAGAGGTGTGGCCCTGTGTTACATAGCCAAGCTTGGGGCCTTGGCTTCCCATCACTCATGTTCAGATCTCAAACACAGAGTCCACGCAAGGGGGAGAAACACACGCCAAACCGTGAGATTTGAATTTGGCTCGCCGGGCTAGAGTTTGAGACCTCCCATCACACATAGCTCAGTATGCTGCTCTCTGGCCTCCTTCTTTGCCAGTCTTCAACTTCCTTTACTCAAGAAACTGCCATGGCTCCCCACATCTCCTAGGACGCACTCCTATTATTTGCCATTCTTTAACCAAATTGAAATCTATACCATTTGCTGAAAGCTCATCTTTCTAGTTCTTTTCCTATTATTCCTCAATATATTCTTGTGCTCCTAACACACTGCAGTTTCCACCTTAATGTCTTTGTCCAAGCTGTTTTCTCCTCCAAATTGGGGATTGGGTCAGAGAATCCCCACGAAAATTTTAGGAACTGGTCTGTTTGAGAGCTTGGTCTCCTGAATGAGCAGGAAGGGGCGGTAGGGGGGAGTGGGAGGAGCCTGCAAGACTTCAAAAAGCATGTATTGCGTGCTGGCCACGTCAATCATCCCTACTCGACCAATAGGCTGAGGTCTCAATCCAAGCGCATTGCAGATGGGCACCCAGAAGACAAAGGTTTCAGAAGGCCAACGTAAGCAGAGCAGAGAAGACAGAACTCTCGGACCTGGAGGAGGCACTTTTCCAAACCTTAACACAGGTAAAGAAAAAGACTTTTGGGATCAAGGAATCTCTCCGTTTAGAAGAGGGAGAAATCGAGGCCCAGGGATGTCTCCAAGGGTTCCCAGAGACATTATTGAAACAGGAAGGCTGGAAGAGACCCCAAAGGTCAAAGCATGCAGGACCTGTCAGACATTGGGTTATCCTACAATACTGCCCCCAAATTGAAGATCTCATCGTTAATCCCAGCTCCACCCTCCGAGGCCACACAGACCACGCTAGAGAGATGGTCTGAGCACCCGTCAGCTGCTATCCTGCCTGTTAATTTTACCTCATAAGCCTTAAATCCATCCTTTTCTCCCCACCTTCTGTCCCTGACTTCCCTGCTCTTTTGACCTCCTTCCCTCCCTTACAGCACAACGTGCGCCTGCCTCTCCCATGTTCACGACCTTGCCACAGCTCCTCAATGTCCTCTGCCTCCCTCCATGACCTTCAAGGTCCTGCTGGCATCTCCAGCCTCATCTCTCCCAGTGGCTCTATATGGACCATGAATCATATGCCATTTGCTGAAGGGCAGGTGCTCTTGCTTCCCAGCCGTGGTAAATGCTGCTCCCTTTGCCTAGAACACACGCCCTACCCTGCAGGTCTAGCTAGCGCCTCCTCCTCCAGGAAGCCCTCCCTGGCTGGGGCACATTCCTCCTCTAGACCTCCCCAACCTCTGGACCATCACTGAGGTTGCAGCTGCCTCTTTCGCTGGGCTGTGAGCCCCATGAGGGCAGAGGAAGCCCTCAGGGATGGAAATTTTGAGACAGGGTTGGTTCCCTCCACCTTTTTCTGCCCTCTCAACTATAAACACCTTTTAGCAGATCTCTGCTCTGGCCTCACTCTGTGACAGGAACGCATTTCTGTCCCAGACCCTGAATTTTTCAACATGGAACACTCACTCTTTATCACCCTTCATTTCTCATTTGACATTTCTATCAGTCCCACGAAGAAGACAAGGGTTGATGCTACCATGCCTCAGCTTAGGGCTCAGTCCTGACTAAGCCTCTTCCCTGCACACAGCCTTCCATGGCTCCAGTGCCTTTGGATGAAAGGCCAGCTTGCTCACTTTGGCCCCCAAGGCCCTGAGTGAACAAGCCCCACCCTTCTGTACTGGACAGCCCTCTACTCTCTAAGCCTGTTGAGCTTCCGTTTCCTTTCTCCTCACATCTTGACTCTCTTCTGGGGATACTCCTCTAAGTAGAGTCCTGTCCCAACTCTAGGAGGAGTCCTGGCCACTCCAGTCACAGTGGTTGGTTCAGGCATGATGACATGACTTGTCTGAACCAGTGAGAGTCTGTCTTGGGACTTTTGCTGGAAGTTGGCCATGAGGAACTTCCTACTGCAGAATCTAAGCTGGGGATGAAAGCTTGGAACAGCTGAAGTCAGCTCTACCATCATGGAGCACCTACTAGATGAAACCACTGGATGAAACTTGCACTGAAAAAAGCAGATGAGGTGGCCTGCTGCCTAGATCCAGCCATACCTGCAGTTAGACCCCCTAGACTGTTAAGTAACATAAGCAAACAAATACCTTTTTTGCCCATGTAGATGGACTATTAGACCTAATACAGCATTCCTCTTGCTGCTTCTCCACCCAGCCCCAACATAGCCACACTGAAATTACCCACAATTCTCTGAAGATATACCATGCATCCCCCTACTTCCAGGCTTTTGCCCAGGGCATAACCAGTACTTATCAATTACTACTCATCTTTCAAAGCCCAACTCTGGCATCAGTTCCTCTGGAGTGCTTTCCCCGACCCCCCAAATCTTTTATCTTCTGGACTCCCCAAAGCAAGTTATTTTTTCCTGTTTGTGTCAGAGCTCATGTCCCGTGTAGACAGGGGCTTCTTGTGTCTCCGTGTCCAGCACTGGGCCTGGCATGGAGTAGGCACCGGTCAATGACTGTTTATTGAATATATGTACTACTGGAGTAAGAAGTGGCTGAGAGCCCAGTATAACATGTGGGTGGGCATGTGAGTGGACGAAGAGGGGACCATAGAGGAAGTGAGGGCCTCAGGGATGAGGCCAAGTTCTGTCCTGCCCTCTGCCAGAATCATCCTTGACCCTCACACCCCCACTGCTCCTATTTGGCAGATAAGAAAACCGAGGCTCAGAGAGAAGCCACTGGCCCAAAGTCACACACCTCCTCCTAATCTCACTTGCAGGAGAGGGCAGGGAAGGAAAAGCCCAGGGCCAGCATGGGGGAGGGGGACTCTCCTAAGTTTATTGGGCAACAGGCTGCAGGTGAGGGGGCTGACAGGAGGGGGGACGGGGTGTAATAACTTAAAAACCGGAGGTGACAGCGGCAGCTCCTCAAGAGATCTCTGCAGAGGAGAGGGTGTGGGGGTATTTACAAGGATTTGTACAAAGTGCCCCGCGCCAGCCTGGGGCAGGGAGGGGGGTTCGAGCATGAAGGTGGGGAAAGGGAAGAAATCTGCCTCTCTGACCCCCACTCCCAGCCCCCCAGATTCTCCAGTCTTGAGGCTCAGCAACCCTTCCTGCCCCTGCCCAAGGCCTAATTCTTGGGCTGTTGGGGAGAATGGAAGAGTTTCCTTAGTTTCCCTTTCTGCCCCTGCCCTGCCCGCATAGTCTCCTCAGGTGCCCCAAGGCAAGGTGAGAACCGGGCCGGGACGGCTGGAGGGTCCAGGAAGGTGCCAGCGCCCCCCCGCCAAGCCCCTCACTCCTCTCTCATGCCGAGCGGCCCGGAGAACAGCACAGGGGACAATCTGCCCCCAAACTGAATTCAGGGAAACTGAGGTGACCGCACAGGGCGAATCCCCTCCCTGACTCCTTTCCCTCCTGTAGAAGTGAGGGAACGAGGAAGAGGAGGGGACCCAGGCCGTGGCGGCTCAGAGCTCGAGGTCGTTGGAGATGCGGGTGACCAGGGTGCGGAAGGCCAGGGCGGTGCCCGCCACGCGGCGGAAGAGAACTCCCCGCAGGCCGGGCCGGGGCAGCTGACAGACCTCCACTTCGAAGTGGGACAGGGGCTCGGGCCCGCCCGCACCCCCGTGCAGGCAGGCCAGCAGGAACGGCTGTGGCTGGCGGCAGCGGCAGCGGGCGGCCGCTGTGGCCTGGCGCAGAGCTGCCATCAGGGCCTCGGGCGGGCGCGAGCTGGTCAGCTTCACACTCCAGGGGAATCGGAGTAGCCGGGGGGCGGTTTCCGTTTGATCCCAAGGTAGATGGCAACTGAAGTGGGAAGATATTCGGGATCAAAGACGGGAGAGAGGAGGAAGCTAACCCACTGTTCCCACTCTGGGACAGCCTCCAACATGCCCCCTAAAAACCCATTTCCCTCTTTTACCCCAGGGACAGTGTCAGCTGCATACAGAGCTGCCCAGCGCAAGACCACATGTCCCCGCTTCCCCTGCAGCCGGGCACGGTTGGCCTCCAAATCCCCGGATGTGAGCAGAAGTGAAGCGAACATCTCCACTTAACCTCCTTGGAAGGAAACTGCCTGTCCTGGACTCTTGCTCCACCTCCTGTGAGCTGGTCTCTGCTGCCGAATGAGCCAGCCTCACTGTGAGGCGGCCAGGGTGTTAACAGACGGGGATGTAAGAATCCTGGGGACCTGGGTGACCTCATGGCACAGTGTGGTTCTCCCAGCCTGGCCTGGCCACATGGTTTTGTGTGAGAGACAAATGTATCCTTGTCTGTATTTTGGAGTCTATTTGCGATAGCAACTTGGCTTATTTCCTAATATAACCCACTTCTGCTGACACATGATCACTTTTCTTTGGAGGGCCAACCTCCTCCTTCTAAGATCAGGGGTTCTCACCTCAAAGAACACTATCCTCCAAGGGGTATTTGGACATTTCTGCTTTTTTAAAAATTATTAGAGTGTGTTGGTATGGGAGCACCATTGGCATTTATTAGGCTGGGGGTGGGGATGGTTCAGGGACATGTTCTGCAACGTATGAGAAATCCCTGCACAATAAAGGAATGTCCCGCCTTAAGTATCAACTGTTCCTCTCAGGAAGCTTTACTAATCTAGTCTTTCTGGTTTAGGTGGGGACAGATTGGGCTCAGTCCCAAGGGTGAGCACGTGATTCAGTTCTAGGCAGAGCATTGTTCCTAGTTGCTGTGATTGGTCTAAAGATAAGCATATGACCAGACCTGACCAATCAGAGTACTCCAGCCCTCTGACCACAGGCATTGGTTTAGGGACATACATATGACCCAGTTTCAACCAATGAGAGTCAGTTCTGTGACTGTTGGAACTTTGGAGGAGACTCTTAAAGGCTCTTTATTTCCATTGGGGTCTCCACACCAGTATTATGCCAAACTGAAGCAGGGCTGGACAGAGTACTGCTCGTTTTTGTGAATTTTTCTTGGAATACTGCCACAGCCATTTGTTTTTGTGTTGAATATGGCTGCTTTTGCACTATAGTTGCAGAGCTGAATAGGTGTGCCAACGATTAGCTGGCCCTCAAAGTCTGAACTATTTACCATCTGGGGCTGTACAGATGTTTGCCACCTGCTGGCCAACAACTGTTGTGCCTCATTGGATAAGAAAGGAAAGGAGGTGCGGGGTCAACTGGGGCAAGTGGTGGTTATAGATGGGAAAGGATGAAGTTAAAGATGGTCAAGGGACGGTGCTCAGGGATGGGGGCGGAAATGAGAGGAAATCACTGGGGCAGGGGGAGGGAAGAGGGGCTGGCACTGGAGGGAGGGTCATGGGGCATTTCAGGAAGCTGGCCTTCGAGGGCAAGGCTAAGGTCCCATCTGAGGGTCTGGGGGGAATGAGCAGAGGTGCTGACGCCAGTGGGGTCTGGGGCAGGCAAAGGGAGAGGGGCTGGTGGGGCAGTCCAGGGTAGGCACATGCACTCACCTTGTGACCTCAGGTCCCCCGATTCTCTCAGGTTCGTCTGAGACCCTAGGGGAGGGGAGTGGGGACAGGATGTCTAATCTGGACATAGGGAGCCCCCTCCCCCAACCCACTGCCTCCAGGGCTCTGAGCAGCCCTGCCTTAGCCCTGGTCCCTCCCCATTGGCTGAAGCTGGGCTGGGGAGGAATGCGAGTCAGAATTTGATTTCCCCCCCATGCCCAGAAGGGAAGCCCGTTTGGAAATGGTTAGTGCAGGTCATAGGAAAGATACCGAAGAATTTGTAAGACAAAAAAGAAAGGTGGGAGGGCAGAGAAACACACACATACCCGTACTCTTCAGGCTTTGCTCAAATGACACATTAGTGAGGCCTGTCCCACTTACAACTGCACCATCCCTTCCCCATGTCTCTGACCCCCTCCCTGCTGTTTTTCTTTTTAGTACTTATTTATTGTCTGGGCCCTCTAATAGAGTTGGCTCTGTCTGGGCATGGATTTTATGTATTTTGTTCACTCTCTACTCCAGGGCCTAGGATGGTGCCAGGCACACAGTAGGCACTCCATGAACAGTAATAGCAAGCATTTATAAAGCATTTTCTAAGGCAACATTCTAAGCTCAGTCCAATCATCGCCTCATATAGTCGGCACAGTAGCCCTATGAGGAAGGGGCTGTTATTGCTATCCCCATTTTACAGAAGAGGAAAGTGAGGCCCAGAGAGGTTAACTTGCTCAAGGCCACTCACTCAGCAGAGCTGGGGTCTGAGCCCTGGGAGTCTGGCTCCAGAGGCCAGACTATTGTTTACTAAATGAATAAAATGAACCACCAGAACCCACATACGGACTCTGACACCAACTCACAGAGCGCCCCCTCCCTCATTCCCCCACCCCCAGATCAGACATGCAGACTGGGAAGCAGAGCCAGGGAGAGTGGAGGAGGATGGGACTTACTGATCTTGGATCCCTGGGGCAGAGAGGCGCCCGAAACACAGCGGTTAGAATTCTGCCGTTTAGAGGGATCGAGGGTAACCCTGCAGTGTGAGGAGGGAGGTGAGCGGTGACAGAAGAGGAGGAGGAGGAGGAGGAGGGGAAGGGCGAGGAGGAGGTGGCAGCAGCGATGATGTGGGGGTACAGGAGGTAGAGCAGAATAGAAGATAGGTTAGGCCCCGCTGTCCCTGTCCCTGCCTCTCGCCCCCCCATGTCCCATGGGGCTCACCTTCGGGTCAGTTTGGAGGTCAGCTTGGTGAAGAGGTTGGTGGTGGGGCGGGGCCGCCCAGTGGGCAGGGGTGTGGCCTCATGGGCCAGGGTGGGAGAGGCAGGGGGCCCGTTCTGCACGCCCCCTCCTCCCCCGCCCCCTGCTCGCCGGTCCCGGACCTGGCCACCGTGGAAGGTGCTGCGGATGGTGGAGCCTCGTGCCAGGCGGCTCCGCTCCCCCGAAGGGGGAGCCAGGCTGTGACTGGATGGGGAGGCAGGGGGCACCCGAGGGGTACCCGAGCTGTGGGCAGAAAGGGACAAGTCAGGGCAGAAGCTCAAGGAAGGCCAAGGCCCTAGTCCTTCTGGTCCTCTCCTGAGACCAGAAACCTCAACCAACCTAGATCTCAGAGCCAGGGCTGCCGCATACAGGTGTGCAGGCCTGTACTATACAAGCCCGGTATTACTTTCCCAACTCCTCTCCCCTCCGAAGTCATCCCTCCTTCAAACTTGACCCACTCCCAACTGTCCCCGTACCAACTCTCCCCTCTCCAAAATCAGCAAATGAATCAACTCAAGTACATTTTTGGATGAATCCCTTGCTATTTACCATCCAAACCCCAGAAACCAAATCATCTTTGTAAACACTTTGTTATCTGAACTTTTCATTACCCAAATTCGGGAAAGGAATAGATGTGTCAAGGGTTTCTATATTCACTGACAATTTTTGAGACTCCCTTCCTAATTCTCTCAAGATGTTGTGGCAGTGGTGGCTCTACTTTCCCAAGACCCTCCTCCAGCCCCTCTGACCTTCAGTCCTGATAGCAAGCACCAGACCTATGATTTCTATCCTTCCAGGGACTCCAGGACCAGTCTGGATCTCAAAGACGGACCCGGACTGTGGCAGATGCCTCTTTCTCTCCCCCAGAATCCATCTTCCTTGTTTAACTCTTAGTAACCAAACACCTAAGAGTATGGGCAGTGTACATGGCCACCCAGGAGACTACATTTCCCAGGCTCTCTTGCAGCTAGGATGATCATGTGACTTGCTCTGGCCAACGGGCAAACAGAAGTACTCCGTATCGTTTCCAAGTTATGCCTCTAAAAGAGAATGCAGTGGGCACTCCACTCTCTTTCCATCTTTCTTGCTAGTTGGGAGATGGTGGCATCGGTGCAGTCGTCTGGAACCCAGTGCTGGAGCCTCGTGTTGAGTTTGGCAGAATCACTCTGGGTCCTTGGACCCTGCCTGCCTCCCTCTGAAGGTTTACATCACAGAAGACTAAACCTCCATCTCCTTTAAGACACTGTACCTTGGGGTCTCTGTTATACCAGCTGTTATACCAAAAGTCTAAATGATACAGTCTTTTGACACGCATGATAGTGGTAATACAGATTTGAGAGTCTGGAATCTTTGCTCCTTGATTTACCAGCTGTACCGCCTTGGACGAGTTACTTAGGGCCTGGCCTCTCTGTGCCTTATGTCTTCAGCTGTAAAATGGAGACACCAGTATCTACTTCACAGACTCTTTAGGGGCATTCAATAATACACGCGGAGGCCTGGCACATGGTTACTGCTTAATGAATGTTCCCCATTATTTTTATTTAATAACCATGAAATAAACTCTCATTCATCAAATAGCTACTATGTCTCAGACTCTGTGTCAGGTACAGGACACACCTGATCTCCACTGTCTCCCTCTAATGGGGCCTGGAGGCAGAGAACATCAGCCCCATCCTACAGAGGAAATGGAGGCTCAGATACTTGCCAAAGGTCATCCTGCTAGCAAAGTGCAGAGGCAAGATTTGGGCTCAGAACCAAGTGGGCACAGCATCACTGCTTTCAACCACCCCATCATCCTGCCCCTGCCAAACTGAGCCACCTGCACCCCTGTATCAGGCGCTTCCCAGAGTGCACCTTGGCGTCCTGCCCTACAGTCCTGGTGGGCAGGGGCATCATCTGCCCGAAGCCTGCCCTGCTCCTGGACGTGAACCGTGATGTGAACTAATTCAACTCCTTTTCATGCTCCAGTCAGTCTGCACTGGTTTCTCTGCTTGCCGGCTGAAAGACACCCAACAGCCTCCAGCAAGCAAGTCTGAGAAACAGCCAACCAGAGGCTGTTGAAGCTGTGACATTCTGGGGCTTCTTTCAAGTTCTAAAAATTGATCATTCAAAAAAAAAAAATCAACTCAGGTTCCCAAGGCTCGTAGGCGGAGAACAGGGCGGACTGCTTTCCTGATGCTGATGACTAATTAATTAAGAGGGCAGGATTTTCAGGGGGGGGATTCTAGGCGGGGAGGACGTAGGGAGATTCTGCAAGGGGCAGACAGACGCACATACTACCCAGTCCCCCTGGGGCCCCCTCCCCACAACGTCCATCATCTTAGATGAAGGGGGGCCCTGCTCACCTACACCCTCCTCCCCAGTGTTGACTCCCCCCCATACCTGTTTTCTTTGCCATTTGGCAACAGGGATGGGCGCTCGGCCCCTGGGCGTTCTGTGCAAACGTAGGTGTTCCTGCGGGTCATCATGCTGGGAGGGAGGTTGTTCTGTGGGAGACATGCCCAGGAGGGGAGTGAGGGAGTAAAGGGACACCCTTCAACTCCCCTCTTACCCTCTCTGGCCTCCCTCCTTCGGCACAAGGAGGGGGGGGGGGTGAACCAAGAGGGAAGAGGGGACGGTTTACTCCAGGCAAAGGGCTGAGACATGAAAGGTTACTGGGCCACCCAGCAATGTAGGCTAAGAGGCAGGGGAGGCCACCGAGCAGCGAGGAGAGGGACCGTTTCCAGGGAGCAGCTTTGTCCGCCTCGTTCTCCCAGCTCTTCCCTCCCTCAGTACTCCAGCCACGGAATTTTTTTTTAAACATACTTACTCATGCCACACTTGTGTCTCCGCTTAGTCCTTGCTCAGGCTGTCACCTGCTTGGAAATTCCTCCTACCTTTCCCCTGACTCACGCCTTCAGGTGTCAGTTCATGTTATACCCCCACCCCCGGCCCCAGGCTGAGTCAGGTGTGCCTCCCTGTTTTCCGCTGCAGCCTTGGTCACTTTGTGTCCTCAGTGTCTGCTCGCAGGTGCGTCCCCACCCTGCACTGGACTATGAGCTCTCCAAGGACAGGGGATAGACATCAGGATTGTGTCACCTCACAAAATGTGCTGGGAAGTGATCCTTCATTTTGTGTCCTCTGATTATTTCTTCTTTCAATGTTTGGAAGGATTCCACCAGTTGGAGCCATCTGGGTCTGGAATTTTCTTTGTGGGAAAGTTTTACATTACATGTTCAATTTCTTTAACAAGAATATAAGAACTGTTCATGTTTTTTATTTCTTCGCATATCGGTTTTGGCAAATTGTGGTTTTAAAGACATCCATCCGCTTCATCTATGTTGTCAAATTTATTGGCATAAGGTAGCTCCGAATACATTTTTACTATCTTTTAATGTTAGAATATAGTTTTCTTTTTCATTTCTGATATTAGTACTTTGTGTCTGCGGTGCTTTTTTTTTCATGATCAGTTTTGCTAGGCGGTCCACCGATTTCATTAATCTCTTCAGGAACTAACTTTCAAGCTTTGTTGATTTTCTCTGGTGTACATGTCTTCTCCTTTATTGATTTACTCTCTTTATTATTTCCTTCCTTCTACTTTTTCTGGGGGCCAACTTGCTGCTCCTTTTCTAGGTTCTTAAGGTGTGCATTTATTTTAACGATAGATGTCATTCATTGGGCGCTTACTGAGCCAGGCATGGCGCAAAGTACTTTATGTACAAGATTTTAACAAGCTCTTCAAAACAACCCAAGTTCTCTGATGTGCCCATTTCACAGGGTAGAATACTGAAGCTCAGAGAGGTGAAGTCACAGCTTATCAATGGCATTCCAACTCTGGTCTGAGTGGCTTCAGAGTCCTGACCACTTTCCTATAACCTGCCTCCAGCCTTGTTTCCTGATGTCCCCACAACCTCTCCTTCCAGGGAGCTGCAGAGGCAGGAAAGCCAAATATTCTGTTCTCCAGATTCCTCTGCAGCTCAGGTTCTGCATGTGAATGGGTTTTGCCAACCTCTGCACACATGAAGATCTGGAAGGTGGAAAGTGGGGTGGCAGCCACCTTCTTGTCCTCTTCTGCTCACATAGGCAAGGTCCCGAGATGAGAGTCTTTTCTTCAGCAGAGCCACAGTGCCCATTCTCCTGACCCGTGGGTACCAAGGGGCCCTTCTCGGGGAGGAAGAAGTTTCTGAGTCTTGGGTTGCAGCTATGACCATGTATTCTTGAATTTAACAGTGCCAGGGGCAGCCTCGGAGGTGGCAGCTCCCCTAGTGGGTCAGTTCTGCTGTGTTGATGTATCATTCCTGTAGGTCCTGTAGGTCCACTGCCTGCTCCCCTAGCTCTTCCTACAATGTTGTAAGCACCTAATAACTCATTGTATTAAATCCTTTCTGCCTCACATGGTGTGGGGGGGATCATGGGGAAGACAGTGTAGCACAGAGAAAGCAAATAGTGACTCTGTGGCATCTTACTACACTGATGGACAGTGACTTCAATGGGGTATGAGGGGGACTCGATAATATGAGTGAATGTAGTAACCACATTGTTTTTCATGTGAGATCTTCATAAAAGTGTGTATCAATAATACCTTAATAAAAACAAAATAAAATAAAAAATAAATCCTTTCTGCCTTAAACAAGAATCGTGCTTCTTTCTGACACTGTATAAATTAGGGTTCAGTGTCAGAAAGAAGCATAAGCTCAGGCAAAGAGTGCACTCAACTGTCTGTGGAGTGAATGAATGAATGAATGAATATACAGGGAGTCCTGTGTGGTGGCCTACGGAACAGGATGGGAAACGGCAGGGTCTGAAAAACGTGAGCCAGGTCACATCTGCAGGCAGGGCCATGGCGGTCGCACCCCTGGCCCTGCACTAACCCCGACCACTCACAGGGGTGCTCGTGCTGTCCTTCCGCCGCTCTGGGATTTCTGCCTTGTTGGGGTTGTGGGCACTGCTGACCATGGGGCTGGAGGGGGGCAGCCCTCGGCTCCCGCTTCCCGCTGCACTGCAGCTTGCCTTCCGGCCTGGCAGGCGCTCCTCCTTCAGTTCTGCCTCCCCCGTGCTGGTTGGGCTACGCTTGGGGTGCAGGGGTGCGGGCGATGGGCCACCTGGTGGAGGGAGGGGACAGTTAGGGTTGGAGTCACCTGGGAATGCCAGATCCTACTCTAGGTGATCCATAGAACTTAGAATTCCTCGTATAGGCTACAATCGGTGTAGGCCACTCTGATAATATCTGTCCAAATGATGAAGGCATTTGGACAGATGCCTCAGAAACTCCACATAAACGACAGAATGCACGAGCAGGTCATTCACTGCATCATTCTTTTTTTTAAGGCCAAAAAGACTGGGAATAGCCTGAACGCCCCTTACTGGGGAATGGCCAAATAAGTCAGGATATTTCCATGTGACCCAATACTATGCAGATGTAAAGAAGGAGGCTATTCTTTATGTATCAAAATGACATCAATTTCAAGACAGACCGTGAAGCAGAAAAAGCAAGGGATGACATCTATCATTTGTGTAAAAAGAGGGGAAAAGTGTGTATCTATTTATCTATATTTACTTATGTATGATATGAATATATTTAAAAATATTCATATTATCTTTACAGCATATTAATATATTAGTATTGTATTATATACCCATCTCTTTTCTTTCTCTCTTTCTCTTCCTCATCTATTTCCTTATATATTTAATATATATGAATAAAATCTCCCCAAAAGAATTTATGTAAAACTGGTAACAGTGGCTGGAGAACTGGACCCTAGGACAAATGTGTTAGATGAAAACTTTTTTAATTATCTGCCCTTTTCATACTATCAAATTTTGAAGGATGTGATTGTATTAATTTCAAAAACAAAACAACAAATATTGCTCCTTGGAACATCTTAGGAATATATGGCTTTAGAACCAGGGGTAAACATGTTCTAGAACTTGAGACACAACTTCTGGGTGTTAAGTCCTCAGGAACCTTAATGCCCAAGAGTCCCCAAACCATAATGACTCTACAAGGACGGACATGGTGTACCCGCCAACAATCCTTCATCCCGAGAACCCCTGGAACCACAAAGGGCTCCATGTGGGGTTTCTAAAGGTTGCCACATTCTAACCAAAGGATATTGGAGTCACAAGCTTCTTAGGAACTTTCTAGGCCTATCTTGCTCTTTTATAGGTGGATGGAGAAAAGGAGACCCAGGGGAGGGGAAGAGCTTGACCCTACAGAAGCCACACTCGCAGCTTAGTTGGGACTGATGCTGAGTCCCTGACATCCCGCCTCTCCCTGTGCCAGTGCCCATCCCAGAGTGAACAACCTCATCCCTGGCAAGAAGTGGGGCTGCAAAAACAACAGAGTCGGAGACCACCCTGGCAGTTTCTCAGACTGTTAGATGCTGAGTCACCGTATGACTCACCAGTGGCTCTCCTGGGTGTCTACCCAAGAGAAATGAAAACATACATCCACACAAACACTGCTACATGTAAGTTCATAGCAGCATTATTCACAATAGCCAAAAGGTAGAAACAGCTCAGCTGCCCACCAGCTGACAGATGGATAAACAACGGTGGTATATCCATGAAATGGAATATTATTTGCCCACGAAAAAGAATAAAGTACTGATCCATGCTAAAACATGGATTGACCTTGAAAACATTTTGCTAAGTGAAAGAGGCCAGACCCCAAAGGCCATCTATTATATAATTCCATTTATATGAAATTTCCAGAATAGGAAAATCTGCAGAGACACATAATAGATTAATAGCTGTCAGGGGCAGGTGGGGTGGGTGGGGGACAGTGGGTTGGGCTGATTGCTAAGGTCTGTGGAATTTCTTTTCGGGCTGATGAAACTGTTCTAAAATTGATTGTGGTGATGGATGCACAACTCTATGAAGATACTAACATGACTGAGTTGTGCACTTTGAATGGGTGAAATACATGGTACATGAATTACATGTCAATAAAGCTGTTAAAAATAACAGAGAGGATTAATATTTGATGAAGGTGCAGGTGAGAGGTCTTTTGGAAGTTTCCATGTCTGTGTGGTGGTGGTGGTGGTGGAATCTACTTTATTTTCTACAGGGGATGAGATTATCTTTCAGGCACAGAACAATTAGGTGTCTCCCCTGCCCTTTTCCACTAGTAAGGGCCTCCCTTCATTTCAGTGTGGAGAGGCCAAAGAGCAGGTTATCAGCAGCCACTTTGTACAATGTGTTCCAATCACAGTGGATTAATCCCAACAGGGCCCTGATATCAGAACTTTATCCCTGACAAGTGGGCCAAAGGGATTCCAGCTCCCATTTGGGCTGGTCTCTAAAACTGAAATGTAAAAAATCTGAAAGACTGGGGAAAAAAGGTGAGTTAAGTAAGAAAGGAAAAACTAGATGAGCGGAAAGGAAGCAAGACACAGAGAGTGTGTGCTCTGGGTCTGGCTGCTTGTCCTGTTTCTAATCCCTTCCTGACCCTGGCTGTGCATTCCTGCTTCTAAGTTCCAGGTAATGTCCCTACATCTGTATAAAAGTTCTACCCTTCACTGAAGTTGGCTCCAGAAGATTTCTGTTGCTTGCCAGCCAGAGAACCCTGACCCAGTGCCAGTCTGAGGCCTTGGGGCAGGGATGGCGGGTGAGGGTGTGGGGCCCTACTCACAGAAGTCGCTATGCCTGCGCTGGCGGTGGTAGGTGGAGGAAGAGCTCCGCTGCCCTTTGCTGTGGCTGGTGCCTTTGCTGGAACTTGTTCCATTGGTGGTGTCGCTGGGCGCCCGCACCCGTGCCAGTGCCAGCCCCGGGGTGCCCCGGTCCCCACCCTCCTGCAAGAGGACAACAGATGAGGTACCTCAGCCCCTGTCTCCTCTGCCCCAGATGTCCCTCCACCCCAGGCATCATGCATCCCAAGTGCCCCTGGCACCTTCTGACCTCAGTCTTCCTGCCCAGCAGGAGGTAGGTGGCAGTCACTTCATTGTACTTCTGGCTGGTCAAGGCCTCTTTAATTTCTTCTCGAGTGTAGCCCATACCCACCATCACCTCTGGGAGAGGGGGATGGAGAGGAAGTTCAGACTCTCCAGACCCTTCCCTTTTACTGGTTTCCACATCAGATAGCGAGACCTGCTCTTGGGCCTGTCCAGTATCCCACTCCCGCTTCTGCCAGCAGCACCCTGATTTTCCTTAGAATATTTCTTCCCTGTCACATCACCCAGCTGACTCCTGCCTGCTCCAAGCCTCAGGACAGGTACAGAACCCAGTTCTGGCCCATCAGAATGCTCCATCCCCAAAGCCACACTAATTGGTTCAGGGTGGGCACGTGACCCATTTCTGGCCAAACTAATTGGCTCAGGGGTAGCCAATGGGCACCAGTCTAGGGTTTCTCCTGGAACAGTAGGGAATCGGTCTCTCCTCCTGATGGGGTGTCCAGGCCACTAGGATACAGCTGTTGCCACCTTGCTCCTGTGGGGAGAGCTGGGCAAGAAGCCACCACTGAGAAGATTCCCAACGACTGTCTCTGAGCACCTGAATCCAGCTGTGCCTGAAGGCTGCCACACCCTGGTTATGTGAATGAGTAACATCATTATTAGCTTAGCCCATATGAAACTGCTGCTGTTGAAAATTTTTGACCTATAAAAATAACAATTTCAAATGGTTCGACCCAGTATTATTAACCGGTTTAAGCCAGAATAGCTTGGTTTTCTGATACTTGCAACAATGAAAGTCCTGATTAATGTAGCCAGCTCTGATGGTGGCCTCTGTCTCCTCAGCTGTAGAATGGAGGGTTACTGGGTGGCTCCTAAGGGCTCTTCCAGGGCTAATGCTTTAGGGGTCAAGAGTTCAAGGGTCCCAGGCTGGAAGAATGGGAACCAAAGGGTTGGTGGGTAAGGCACGTGCCAATGTAGGGGCTCTTCCCAAACATGCAGATTACTGATGACTTGTGCCCAAACTACTTCTGAAAGTAACAGTCAAAGCTAATGTACACTGGCACTGATTCCACACCTAATAAAAGGGCTTTATGTAGATGAACTCATTTAATATTCAGAGAGACTCTAAGATAAGTTCTATGATCATCCCATTTTACAGATGAGGGGACAGAATCACAGAGAGGGGAAGCCACTTGCTCAGGATCACACAGTTGAAGGGAGCTGCACAGGCTGTGAAGCCCGGACTTCTCTGCTCCCTCTAATTGTCTTGTGAACTTCTCTGATGCACCAACCACAGGGGCAGGTACCAGGAAGCTCGTACCCCTGGCTCTGCAGAGCTGGGGCACCTGCTCTCCCTGACCCTCACCGATTCGCTTGGTGTCCCCAAAGTCCTCCTCAGGCTCTGTGTAAGGCTTCAGCTCCTCACCCTCATAGCCGATGTTGATCCATTTGTCTTTCATGATTTGCTGCAGTAATCGGGCACAAGAGAAGGAAGGGAGAGACACGTCAGAAGAAACTGGGAAGAATACCGCTCCCAACGTCCCAGTCAGGCCACTGAGTGGGTGCTCCCTGCCCTGCTCCCCACCTCCTAACACCCCAGAATCGAGGCCTTCCTGAGAGCTAGCACCTCCTTGCCCCACCCCCAGCCCCCCTGGCAGAGCCTCCCGATGTCACCCTCCCTCCTCTGCATCATCTGGGTCCCCAGCACCCTGTAATTACCCTAGGAGCTCATTAGCTAATTACTGGCATGGTGGGGAGTGGGCGAGTCTGTGGAGGGTGGCGTCAGGACGGGCCTGGGAGCCTTTTCCGGGCTGCCTGCCCCGCCCCCTTCCAGCAGTGGATCTTGGGCAGGTGGGCCCAGGAGAGGAAGACTGAAGAGCCAGAAGGCTGAACTTTCGGGGCTGTGAGGCTGAGGGCTCACCTCGAGAGTACAGCGTTTAGCTGGGTTCAGCACCAAAAATCTCCGCAGGATACTCTCACAGTCTGTTGACATGTAGAAAGGGACTCGGTACTTCCCTCTGAGGACTCGCTCCCGCAGCTCCTGGGGGGACGGCGTTACTGGGGGAGGGATCCACCCTGGCTCCCCACCCATGACACACGCACGCACACACACACTCATCTTTCTCCCAGTCCTGGCGGAAGTGACAGGAGCTCCGAGCGTCATTCCTGGCGAGGCGTGAAATACTCTACCATTCTCTCCTGGCCGCAATCCTCCATCTTTATAATAGGAATGTAGTACTAGATACAAGTTTTAAAAAAAGTTTTTCTTGAACTACATAACTTTCACTCGGAGGAAATCTTGCAGAGAAAGCAAATTCTGCAAGCTGGGTAAGAGGGGAGGGAGGTGGGCAGGTAAGGCAGCATCTGGGGCGTCAGTCTACTTATCTGTAAACAGGGACCGCGGCAGCCACGCCACAGGCCAGAGCGCAAGTTTATAGAAGTAAAATGCCGAACACATATCTGGCCAGGACAACTGCTATTTAAATACTAGGCTCACAAAAGGGGAGCAGAGAGGGGATCCTGCCCTTCTCCCACCCCTCCCTCCTTCTCCCCTCCCCTGTTGAAGAAATAGGAGGCCTGGCTGCCTCAGAGGATGAGCACTGATTTATATGTTTATATGCCACTTTTTTTTTAAGGGCTTTGTATGAGGGGCCCTGCCAAGAAAGAGAAAATAAATTCGATGCTCCCTCGCATGGCAGACCGAGGAGAGCCGCTTCTATCCTGAATAACAAACTGAGGGAGACAGAAAATGGAGGGGGTGGGTGAACAGGCGGGGGGTCTCCTGGGATGGAGCTCCTTTCTGGGGCATCCTCCTAAAAGGGCTGGAAGGGGCATGTGTCCGGGGAGCGTCCTGGGTCTGCAGATCATTACAACCCGAAGGGTCGTGAATATTTAATGATGACAAGTGCCACCTTCAGGACACTCACCCGGTGCTGGGCAGTGTTGGACAAGCTTTGTGCAAATCACGTCTGTGTTCACAGCAATGCTGTCAAGCAGGGCTCTCACGCCCATGTTCCAGATGAAGAAGAAAAGCTAGACAGGTTAATTAAGTCACTGGCCCTAGGAATGTGCAGGCAGAAAATGGCAGGGCCAGGATTCAAATGCACACAGTTGAGCTCCAGGGCCTGTGCTGTGTAACCACGGCACCACACCACCTCTGTCACGTGATGGTGAGACCTAGCCACCGGGCCATCACCACCAGAACAGCTCCCAAATGCCAGAATGCACACTTGCTCTGGATGTAAGTAGATACTCTTAATGTCCCGATCTTATGGGGGGGGGGGGCACTGAGGCTCAGAAAGGGACTTGTCCGATGTTACTTGGCATGGAAATGACAGAGCTGGGACCTGCCCCCAGCTGCATGTCTCCTTTGTCCAGCAAGGCTTGGGGTGCCTGGTAGGGAAACCAAGACAGCAGCAGGTGACAAGGGCCTGGGGCAGGTGAGATGCTGGCCTAGTGCTTTGCAGAGGCCTCCTGGCTTCATGCTTGGGGCTCAGAAAGATTACTCTGTGATAGGGAGCACTGTGCATGCCTGATCTCAGACCCCTCCCGTGGCTGCTCTGAGGCCGGTACCTTACTGTCCTCACCGAACAGAGGGGAGACTGGCTCAGAGGGATCAGCTGCTTGGACAGTGAAGGGGCATCTGCCTCCTCATCACCCAGGTCCCTGCTCCGATGGCCTGTCCTCAGCAATGACTTCCCTGACCTCCTGAATTCCAGTCCTGCAGACTTCCCGCCTGAGCCCACCACTGGGATCCACATGTGAGGACATACTAGGCAACCCAAACCCAGGCCGGTTCTGCAAAAGAACTGGTCTGAGCTCAAAATGCCATGCCAGGAAAGGTGACAAGAGGCAGAGGAACGGATCCAGACAGATGGAGACTATGGAGACAGGACAAGCGGACGCAATGTCGAGCCTGCGTGAGTGCTGGGCCAGGAGGAGAAACAACGCCCAGGGATATTCTTGGGAGGACGGGTGCCATCCAAGTACGGGCCATGGTCAGAGGCCAGGCTTGCCTCAATGCTGTACTTCCTGAGTGTGACTGTGGAGGGGAGAATGCCCCTGTCCCAGGAGATAAAGGGACACTGTTTGCAACTATCTCCCAAATGTTTCATCAAGAACGACGTGACAATACCACAGACATGTACAGACTGACATGGCAAATGCGACCAAATGCTAGCAATGGAGCCGTCTCCTGGGAGACACCACCTGTTGTTTGTTCTAGTTTGCAACTTTTCTGTAGACTGGCAACATTTCAGAAGAAAAAGGCCAGTGCTACACCTCAACCCACCTGCCCCACCCCGACATGTTTCTTGCCCCACAGCACCGGCCTGCTCGCACTTAGGACCTCTTTTCCTTACTTATTTTGTCCTCCGCCTGGCTCTGTTGCTAGCGTGTCAGTCCATGAGGACAGGAATGTTTCTGTTTTAAGTATCCAGTTCCATGGTTCTGAGTATATCCATGGAGCCAGGCAACCACCACCACCATCAATTTTAGACGTTTTCATCACCCCAAAACAAGCCCTGTTCTCCACCCGCCGACCCTGTCCTGGACGCAGGCAACCACTCATCTGCTTTCTGTTTCTAGGGATTGGCCTACTTCATAGAACCACGTGACAGGCGGCCTGTGGTGACTGGCTTTTCCCACTTAGTGTGTCTTCCAGTTTCGCCCGTGTGCAGCAGGTGGGGGTTGGGCTCTTTTGTTCACATGGTATCTGCAAACCTCAAACAGCGTCTGACCCATTGGCCGTAGACAATCAGTTTACTGAGGGCCTGAGTGGGCCAGAGTTGGAACCCAAGCCTGCCAGCTACAGAGCTTGTGCTCTGAACTCCCCTGCGGCACGGTCCACTGGTCACATGGCTGTGGGGACTGGGGCCCTGCCTGACCCCCATCGTGGTGTGTGACCTCAGGCCAGCCTGGCCCCTCTCCCCTCTGCAGAGGTCAGGAGGGTGGTGGGGGCCTGACTGTGGCGGCCAGAGGGACCCTCCCCAAGACAATAAGATTCCCCATGCCGGCCCTGCCCAGCACCTTGAGGTTGTGCCCGTCGAAGGGCAGGGAGCCACTGACGAGAGTGTACAGGATGACGCCGAGGCTCCAGATGTCCACCTCCGGCCCGTCATACTTCTTGCCCTGGAACAGTTCCGGGGCAGCATACGGGGGGCTCCCACAGAACGTGTCCAGCTTTGAGCCCAGCGTGAACTCGTTGCTGAAGCCAAAGTCAGCGATTTTGATGTTGGCTTCGGCATCCAGCAAGAGGTTCTCGGCCTGGGAGGAAAGGAGAGGACAGAGAGTGGACGTGGGGTGGGCAGGAGTGGAGGCTCCAGAGCCGGCCCACCTGGCCTGCCTGTGGTCCTGTCCCTTACTCCCTGAGTGACCTTCGGCAGTGACTTAACCTCTCTGGGCATTTCACAGAAATGGGTAAGCAGAGTCTCTACCTCACAGGGCTGTTTGAAAATCAAGGGAGCTAATGCACTTAAAAGGCGCGGAACAGTATGTCGCACCCAGTAAGCGCTGTCTAACGTTAGCTTTTATTATCCCACGGGGCCTGTAAAGCTGGGAGTCCTCAGGTAATCTCCTGCCCCTCTCTGAGCCTCAGTTTACACTACAAGGAAAAAAATAAGAGGACTGACTGCTCAAGACCCATAAAAATGAAAACAATCACTTTATCTAGCACACCTCCTATGCGTCAGGCTTTGTGGACTATCACTTAATTGTAAGAGTAGCTGCATAATATGGGGTTGAAAGTACAAATTCTGGAAGAATCCCAGATCCATGACTCACTGCATGACTTTGGGTAGGTTACCAGACTTCTCTGTGCCTCAGTTTCCCTATGGGTAAACTGAGGGCACACAGCACATATCCACCCTCCTAAGTGTTGCCCAGTCTGACCTGCCCCAAGCCAGGCTACCAGCATCTCTGGCTTTCTCTAGGCCTCCCTGCCTCCTGGTTTATTTTAGTACCACACTCCCTCACTTCCCACCCAACAAGGGGACAGACCCTCAGACGCACACACTTCAGAGAGATTATCCCCAAGCCCCAGTGTAATAGCCTCTCCCTTGCTGGCATTTGAGGTTCCACTCCAGTCCAGCCCCATGTCTGGTTGCACCCTGTGGCTGGTTCCCACAGAGCACTAATCAGGACCCTGAAATCCCTTTAAGCCATTTCCAGGACCCTCCACCAGGGGGCGCTCCTCCTCCAGGTTGGTCTGCGGAATTCACCCCCACGGGGCAAAGTCAGGCACTCCTAGGAGCTCCCTCAGACCCTCAGTACAGAGACAGTGGGAGTGTTGAGAAACTTCTACAGCAATGTGACAGTGGAATTTTATGTTTTTTTAAATATAACACTAATAATTTTAAAAACTGGGCTTGTGTTTCATGTATCTCTTTCCCTTTCCTTTTTACTGTACTTTTGAAGTGTCTATCCACAATGGAATTGAAAACAGTAGAACAAACCTGGTCCTTCACTATAGCCTCCTTGGTGGCTACAAGCCCCCCTTCCTTAAAGCATGGGGTATAGTAGGTGTATAGTAGGTGCTCAAGAAATGATAGGACAGTTTGATTGAGCCAAACAAACATTTCTCTCTCTGGTCTAAGACGAGGAGCCCTGAGATGTGTGGCTTCTCTCGGGGTGGGAGGTGTGCGGGGACCCGGGGACATGCAGCTAGTGAGGGCCTGTTCCTGCTCAGCTGGACCAGGCAGCAGGGTCCAGGCCTGTTCAGCCCCCTCCTCGCCGGGTGCCAGCCGCACGGTCCTCTCTCAAAGGTCCTTCTCAAGTTCCAAGATGCCTGTGACTCTAAGACCCTGGAGGACACACGACTCTGGGGCGCTAAAATCTCAATTCTCAAAGTTGCTGAATGTTGTACAGTCAGAGATGCCAAGCCTCCGGCGGCCCTGGAAGTGGACTCCTTATCACGTCCCAGTGTCCTTGAACAGGACGCATGTGACGGTCCAGGGCCATTCCAGGACACTTTGTTTCCTTCCCCACCCCACCACTTGCTACCCCATCTGCTGCCTTCTTTTGCCACAAAAACGTGGGAAAAAGGTCCAGGGGCCTTGGATGCTGAGGGAGGAGCATGGAGAGAAGCAGGCCCCAGGGTCCGGAGGTGGGGCCGGGGACAAGCTGGGGAGCTCATAGTGGGCTCACCTTCAGGTCCCTGTGTACAATGTTTTTCTGGTGACAGTAGTGCACAGCCGATACAATCTGGAGGGGAAGAGAGGGAAGGTCAGTTACTTGTGGCCCCCAAAACCCTCAGCCTCCCTCAGACTGCATGAACTCACAACTGAGTCCCTGGACTCCAGGCCTCCCCTAAGCACAGGCCGGAACAATGGGCCTCACACTCCAATTCGATCACAGCAGGAAATGCTGTGGGACCTGTAAACACACACCTCAGCTCTGACACCCAGACATCAGGATACCCCTGGCAGGGACACGAAAACCCAGACATCACGACTAGCCCCCTCCAGCTTTCACATCGGGAAACATGCATAAGAACATCCCATACACCGACAGACATGTGGCCAGCAAGGCTTAAGGCCCCCACGCCCAGTACAGCTGCGTCAGGGCAGCCGAGGAGTCCCGGACCAGCACCCTCACTGAGATCTTTTCACACCTGGCACCCTCACACCGGCATGTCCTCTTAGCCACACACTTGATACCTTCATATCTACAGGCCTTCTTCCTCACACACCTGGGAACTCACACCTGCATGACCTTTTACCCACAAACATATAGAACCACACCTGGGACCGCCTCACCCATACACTCGGGCTGCCATACATACCTTTCTCACATATCTACACACCTATATACTTGGGCATCCACACACCTAATCCCACACATCTTCTAACCCTCGCACCTACACCCACAGGAGCGCCGGGCACATGCAAGCCCTTTCAAATCACACACCTTCACACCAGGCAATCCTCACACCCACACCTGACACCTGCACGCCTGGGGTGACCCTCTCGCCCACCCAGCTGGGCACCTGCAGGCCTACATCTGGATAGCCTCACACCTGGGCATTTGCACACTCTCTCCGCCTCCACCTCCACCCAGACTTAAGCCATGCCCCCAGGTCACTGGACAACCCAGATGCATGCCCCGGGGTGGGGTACCCCCTCCCGGCCCCACCCACAGCCGTGACCCCAACCTGTCGGAACTTGGCTCGAGCTTCCTTCTCCTTCATGCGGCCATGTGACACGAGGTAGTCAAACACTTCTCCTGCGGGGCAGAGGACCACGAGGTCAGGGCGGGCCTGGGGGACCTGTGGGGCAGGGCAGGGCGGAGAGGGGCCTCACCGGCACTTGCATATTCCATCACCAGGTACAGTGTCTTCTCGGTCTCAATCACCTCGAAGAGCTTCACTGCAATGGCCAGGGGATGGGGGTTATGTGGGAGGAGACCCCTCCCCTCCTCCCACACTCTGTAACTGTGTGGATGTCTGACTGTAACACCCCATACTCCAGGACACTCAATGGCTCCCTACTGATGGCAAGCTTTTCCAAACTCCTCAGCCCACGTCATCACCTTTTCTACTTTCTCTCTTAAGGATGTCAGCTCTGTGAGGCCAAGGGTTTGTGTCTGTTCTCTTCATGATTTATCCCCAGCATCTGGCACACAGCAGGCCTTTGGTAAGTATTTACTGAATAAAATGGATGGATAAATGCTGCAGCCACATCCAGGGCAGACTAAATCCCTGGGGTCTTGGTGAAGAGCCCTCTTTCTCCTCTCTTCCTAATGAGAATGACAATGGCTGCTATCAGCGACAACAATCAGACCAGTACCCCTGGCTTGGCGCTAAGTGTTTTGAACACAGGATCCTATCCAGCCTTCCCAGTCACCTTGAAGTAAGCCCCCGTATCAGCCCCACTCCAGAGGAGAAATCTGAGGCTCAGAGAAGTGAAGTGACTTGCCCAAGGTCACACAGTCAGTGAGCAGTGACCCTGCTATGAGAAAACAGGTATTTCTAATTACTATGGCAGCTGGTTCTGACTCTCCTTTCCCAACAGTCCTGGTTGGTAGCTCCCAAGCCCACTCCCTTCCTCACCGATGTTGGGGTGGTTTAGTCCCTTCATGATGCGGACTTCCCGGAACAGCTGTGCATGACCAGAAAAAAAGAAACAGAAAGATGAAGGTGGGCAGTTTTGAGAACCTCCCCAACTTTGCCCCTTCCCTGCTCCCTCTCTCTGGGCCTCACCTTCTGCAGGCTGCTGGGGTTCAGCTGGGTTTTGTCGATGATCTTGATGGCAACCTGGAGGTGGAAGAGGACACAGGGAAAGGGCCCCCAACTCAGATCACCCTGGGATGTCTTTCCTTTGCCCCCTCTCACAGAAAGCCCTCAATATGGGCCATTCCTAGTGGCTGGGGGACCTGGGTCTCAGGGCCTTTGCACATGCTGCTCCCACTGTTTCCAGTGCTACCGTTACTTCTACAGGGAAATATTCTCTATTCCACAGGGGGGCCTGGGTGGGGTTGCTCCAGGGGCTGTGAGAGTGGGTGAAAGTGATTGAGACCTTTAAGGGGGACCCTTTGTGAGGGCATCTCAGACCATTCATCACATCTTTGCTTTGAATGCATGAACTGTGGAACAATAAATAAAAACAGTGGCTAACTAACATTTACCCAGCAATCACATGTGCCAGGCCCTGGTCTGTGAGCTTCACAAAAGAGAACTCTTAATCCTCACATGAGTGTTAGAATCATCTCCATTTTACAAATAGGGAAACCGAGGTATGGAGCCATTCAGTCACTTAGCTTGGGTTACATAGCAAATAAGTTTGTAGGTTGGGATTTGAACTTACGCAGCCTGATAAAGAGTTTACCTCTTAAACACTTTACACTTAAATATATATATATATTAGTTTTGAAAGTGTTGAGGTTGTCATAATAGGGGGAAATTCAGAATGTTACTGAACTCTCATATTTATCTTGCAGGGTAGTTAGGTTTTTTATTTTGAATGACACATTGGGGTAAAACTCCGTAAGTTTTCCAGTACTGAGGGGCTCTTAATGTCTTAATGTGGCTCTAGGTCTGTAGTTTTCCCAAAGGGTTTTGGGGCCACCTCCAATCTCCCCCAGAGCCACTGGATTACAGAATTGTTCCTCTGGAAAGTCCTGTTCCCTTAGACGCTCGTCCTCTAGAAAACCCCTCAAATCCTGTTCAAAACCCACGTCAGGGGAACAATGTGCTCTTTGTGGAGACGGTCCCTTCGCTTTCCTCATATTCTCACAAAGGGGTTTTCAATTTTGCTAAGCATTTTTAAGAGGATCATATGGTTTCTCTCCTTGAATCTGTGAATGTGGTGAAGCGCATGAATAAATTGTCAATTCGAAAAGAACTGTGCATTCTTGGGATGAACCCAGCTTTGTTATCACACAGCTTTCTTCCACTGATGTGCCAGATTTAGTTGCTAATATTTTAAGACTTTTGTATCTACATTCACATGGAAGGCTCGCGCATAATTTTATTTCATATCTGATTTGTGGTCATCATCAAACTAGCCCTTCAAATCAGTTGGGCAGTGGAGCCTCTTTCTTTAGTCTCTGGAGGTGCGGGCATAAAATTGGAATGTTTGGTAGAATTTGCCCATAAAACCACTGGGGCCTGGTGTCTTTTCTATGTATGGGGTACACAGCATGAGGGCAGGAGAGAATTCCTCCAAGACAGGAGAAATCGTTTCCAGCCACCATCTCTAAAACTGAACGGGGTGCAGAGGAGTCATAAACCCACCCACTACATTCTTCCCTCTTAGGTGTGAGATGTGTCACATATAGGTTACGAGCTCTGCAATGTTGCCATTCTCAGCACCTACGGCCCACGTGGGAAAGGGAGATGGGGTAACTGAGAACTCAGATTCTCTGGTGTTCTCTTGATCACTGGAAGATTTGCAACCAAAGTCTTCTGTTAAAAAGGGGAGTGGCCTAGAGAGATGCAGAAGCCATGTGAATTCTTAGAAACAGAGTGGTCGGGCCTGTGACCAAAGATTTCCTGACAATTTCAGGGATGCCGGAAATGGGTTCTCTTCTTCTACCTGAGTTGTTCCGGAAAAACCTGAGATGTCCTCATCTGTCCCAGAGTGAGTCAGGGACTCACCTGAGGTCACAAAGTAAAGTGAGGGCCAAGCCTCACCTCGTCCCACCTTCTGCAAAGCACTGGGGCTGCCGGATTCGGCCTTGAGCCCCGTGCTGCCCCCTCACTCACCTCCCGGCCGGTGAGGATGTGCCGGGCCAGCTTGACTTTGGCAAAGTTGCCCTTCCCGATGGTCCTCAGCAGGCGGTAGTTGCCCACGTGGGGCTGCTCCTCAGGACAGGAGGCGATGGAATTCCGGCAGCGGGCACCCAGGGAGCGGCTGGACCAGGATGGTCCCTTGTCTGAGGAGCGGCCGCTGCCCAGGGTGCCATGCTGGGTGGGGAGACAGGGCGTGAGCTGAGGGCAGTGACACTGTGGGCTGGGGCAGTTCAGTCCCACTGTGGCTGCTGGCCCCCCTGTGGCCCTTTCCAAGCCCAGGCCAGAGAGAAACCCAATGCCTCTGAGTCCCCCATCTCTCTCTCTCTCTCTCCCCAACAAGATGTCTCCTCGAACAGAAATGCCAGGACCCCCAAACTCTGCAGCACTCACCCCATGCCAATGGTCACCATTCGCAACACTCTATTTTAGCTGTCACTGTCCCCATCCAGTCCCCCGAATGCCACTCCAAACCCACACGTCAGTACTGTCTTCCCTGTTTACTGCCCCGAACATTTTCTTCCAATTGCTACTGCCCCAAATTCAGCTCCAAACACTGACTTCTATTTTGCCCAGACGTTCTAGCCCCGCATTGTCACCGTCCTTTGGTGGAAAACACTGTTGTTTCCTCCATGGCCCCACCCCCCACCCCCACCCTGTGAAATCCCGCTGCTCTGGCAGCACCCTGCCCTACTGTCTCCCATGCCATCGGTCCTATCTGTCCCCCACGTTCTGTTCCTGACGTCTTGTCCCTCCCGGGCCTCTCTCCCCTGCAAGTCACCTGCCTGCCCGCCCCAGGCTGCCCTGTCCTGATTGTGAGCCCCAGGGACTACGCCTCCCTTTCAAGGCTGGGGCCCAGGGTGGGGGCGATAAACACAAGCAGAGGCCCCAGCCAAGAGGGCTCTGCTCAGACCCTGGGCCTTTCCCAGGGCTGCGGGTGGGAAGCTGGAGGACAAAGGGAACCAAGGAAGGAAGCGAGCCAGGTGGGCAGCGAGATGAAGGCCTCGGGCTGCTCCTTGAAGGGAATCCACCAGGCCAGTTAACAGTGATGATGGCCAATATTTAATGAGCTCTGGCCATGAACAGGTCAGCATCCCCATTTTACAGGCAGGGAAACTGAGGCCCAGAGCCGGGATCTGAACCCAGTCTACCCAGAGTGGATGCTCTTCACTACCACCATACCAGAAGGCTTCACACACCTGCATCGTGTGTATTAAGCAGCTTTTACTGTGGGCCACATCCTGGGCTAATAAGTACCTCATTTACATTTAGTTCCCACAGTAGCCCAGTGAGGGCAGTGTGCCTGCATCCTTGTATTCCAGAGGAGAAACTGAGGCTTGGAGAGAGAAGGCTGCGTCAAGGTCACACTGTTCAATTCACAAGAGGCAGAAAGATAACTGCCACTGCTGAAGTCCTGACCCTAGGCAAGCCACCCTCTGAGCCTTCCCCCTGGCCTCCAATGCGGGTCCAATCACAATCGCATTCTCCAGACAGGGGTCCTAAGGCTGAGGCAGGCTAAGTACCTTGCCCAAGGTCATGGGGCAGATGGAGCACAGTGCCCAGAATCCGAACCTGGGCCTGCTGACTCTTGAGCACTGACTTCTTTCCCACATCACACTGGGCTGCTCACAGCCTCAGGTCTCCGGACTGTGCGAAGGGAGGTGGAGAGTCTGGCTGGTAAGGACTCTGATTCCCACCAAGATAAGGGCTTGAAGAAGAATCTCTATTAAGTAGCACCAGGGGAACCAACTGGGGGAGGGCTGGCACCCACTGAAGGCAGTGTAGCTAAGGGATCCCCTCCAGGGGCGGCTGGGGCAGTAGGTGACAAAGTCCCCAGGGATTGGGGGTGGGAGCTAAAATTGGCTGGTACCACCAGCTGGCCTGGCTCCCACCTGCCTGCCCGGCTGGCACCCCAACACTGGGCCTGTTGCTAGGGAACCTCCAAAGAGGCTGGGCGATGGGGACCTGGAATTTGGGGTGAAGGAACATGACCCCACATGGCTGTTGTAATGGTAACTAGGTGGCAGGGCAGGGGGTTCTGAACTCTGATTCCAGAGGGAGAGGTGACCCCTTGCCAGGACTGACAAGCAGGTCTTACACATTAGTTGGCACAAGGGGATTAGCCACCCTCCAATCTCCATGATGCACAAACCTGAACAACAAGAGGAGGAGGAAGTGCTTGTGGGAACCCCATTTTACAGATGAGGAAACCAAGGCTCAGAGAAGTGAGGTCACTTGACTGAGGTCACGCAGCTAAGGAAGGACAGAAACTAGATTTGAACCCATGCTTATCTGAATAATCAAAGTAGTACTATAGTAGTAGTAATAATAATAATGGCAGCTACAGTGTGCCTGGCCCCATGCATCTTACTCATCTCCTCTGCTCTCTGAAACATCCCTACCAGAGAGAGGCTATCATCAACTCCACGTAGAGATACAGAAACTGAGGCTTGGAGCAGGGAGAGGATCTGCAAGTTCACACAGCTCAGATGACAGCCCTGGGTTAAGAATCCACAGCAGTCTGACTCATAGCCACAGTCACAACAGCAAACACGTGTGGGGCAAGTTCTATGTGCCAGGCCCTACCTGTGTCACTTCAAGTATTCCTCTGAGGGGCTCAAGTGATCAGACCCATTTTCCAGGGCAGGAAACTGGGGCTTGGAAAGCAAGAACCAGTAGTCTGAGGGCACAGGGCAAACCAGCTGGCAGAGCTGGCCTCTGAACTCAGGCTGGTGGGTTCCCTAGTACTTCCTGTAGTGGGGTGGTGGGGGGATCTCATGGGAGACCCCAAATCAGAGTCTGCCCTAGGGTACAATGGACAGAGCCACGTCGTGATGGTGGCAGTAGGGATCTCCGTGAAGGAGGGTCCTGCAACACGGCAGAGATAAACCTCTCTGGTGGGGCTCCAGGGTTGAGGATGGCGAGGAGGTGTGGTCAGGGACTAGGGGGAAAGGGAGAAAGCCAGGGAGGAGTTTGGCATTGGTTGGTAGGAGGGTCTAGGAGTACTGAGAGTGATCGGGAACCAGGGAAATGGAGGGGGTGTCTCCCCAAGGTTGTTCCGGGCTGTGGTGTTGGGACAGGGGGCCTGGGAAGGGTTGAAGTCAGAGGCCAAGGATCCTTGGGCCAGGGGCCTGGGTGTTGAAGAAACTCCTACAAGTCAAAGAAGGGGGTTTCTAGGTGCAGTCCTTAAAACCAGAGAAAGATCCGGGGCCTGGGAGTCCTGGGGAAGAGGTTTCCTGGGGAAGGGGAAGATGAAGAGGAATACAGGCTGAGCCGTGTAAGGGTCAAGAAGCCTAGAAACTTGATGAGAAGGCTTCCAGAACACAGACCCCAAGAGAAAAGGGCTTACAGCCAGGGCAAGACCAGAGGCTTGGAGCCCAAGGGTCTTCTGGAAGAAGGACCTGGGGCCAAGCCTGGTGAGCTGCGGAAGAACTCCAGAGCTGAGGAAGGGGCATCGCTGGGAGGCCAGACCCCAGCAAGCAGGAGGGAAGCCCTGAGGCAGAAGGCATAGGAACCTGGAGACCTAGAGGAAGAGACGGTGTCCTGGGAGGAGGTCCTGGCCTGGAGGGGATATAGGGGCTGGGGGCTTGCGGTGGGAGCTTGCCTGAAGCTGAGGAGTTGATATAGGGAGGATGAGGCCTGGAGTCAGACTGGTCCAGGGCCTAGAATTCTAAGACTGGGCTGGATGGAGGCTTTGAAGTTGGAGGCCAAGGCTTCCTGGGAGAGGAAGAGACCAGAGAGATGGGGAGGATGGCTGGGGGGCCCCAGGTGCTGGGAATCAAGGGGCAGGGCTGCTTGGGAGACGGGGACCAGGCCTGGGAGTGGACAGACCTTGAACAAGATGCAAAGGGCCCTGGGCCCAGGAAAGGTGAAAACCAGCTTCCCGTGAGGGGGTGCCCACAGGAGCTGGGAGGATCCTGGAGGGGTGGAGGGCTGGGAATGAGAGAAGGGGGGCTCCTAGGTAGCCAGCCACCCAGATCCAGACTGGGAAGGTCGGAGTCAGAAGCAGGGCTGGGCCAGGCCTTCCTGGGAGAGGGCCAGGGCTGGGCCTTGGGGTCAGGAGCCCTGCAAAACCGGGAGGGGGCGAGTTGTCGGATGCCCGTGGCTTGGAGGGGGAAGGGGCTTAAGAACACGCCGGGGAAGGGAGGGGCTCCTGGAAGGCAGGGGAGGGGGCTTCCTGGAGGGAAAAGATCCGAGCGGAAGCGGTCTGCAGAGGGCAACAGAAGGGTCCCTGGAGAGGGGTGCCCCCAGGGGTCGGGCTGAGCTGAGGAGTGGGGGAGGGTGAGAGGCCTGTATGTCTGGGCAGGGGTCGGGAGGTGGCGAGCCGGGCCGGGCTTGGGAATAAGGGTGGGGGCTCGCGAGGCGGGAGGGGCACAGCAGGGTGAGCGGTTCGACGGCTGCACTCGGCCGGGGCTCCCCAAGGGGCCGGGCCCCACTCACCGTGTCCGAGTTCCGATCGTTGCCCGGGGCCAGCGCCGTCCGCGAAGACATTTTCTCCGGGTCCCAGGAGACTGGGCAGCCGGGTGGGGGGGGCGGGGGTCCCGGGGTCCCCGCTCTTCCCCTCCCCCCCCGCCGGCCTGAGGACGCGAGCTCAAAAGCTGGGCGCCGTGGACACCAGGGTTCGCGCCGCGGGAGAGGGGGCAGGGCGGGGAAAGATAGGGGACGCCGACGGTCCTAGTGGCCCCGTTCAGTCGGGGCCCGGGGCGCCATGGGGGCGGCGGGCTGGTGGGCTGGCAGGCGGGGGACCGGGAGGGGGCGCGGAGCCGGTCCGGGCGGCGGCGGAGGGGCCGAGGAGGGGCCGAGGAGGAAGGGACGTCAGGGGGAGGGGAGGGCGGGGCGGGGCCGCAAAGACTCCGCCCCCTGCCTCCGGCCCTTAAAGGCGCAGGCCCTGACGGGTCGGGGGCTCTGGGGGCGGAGGCAGGTCCGGGCGCGTTGCTGGGGAGCATGTTCTCACAGAAGGGCAGAGACTCACCCGAAGGGAAAAGAAGAGAAACGCCAAGGCAGAGCGCCAGAGACGCAGAGATAGACACAAAAAGAGACACAAAGAGATGGAAACAGGCCGAGAGAAATGCAGAGGCACAAAGAGATGCAAAGAGCCAGAGGACTGAGAGACACAGAAAGACGGAAAGAAAGACACACACAAAAAAACTTTGGGAGATACAGAGAGGACACAGACATAAAGAGTGACAAAGACTGAGAGACCCACACGCGGAGACAGAGAGACGGAAAGAGACAGAGATACGCAGAGAGGAGACACAGAGACCTGTAAAGGGAATGAAGACAGTGCAGAGAAGCGCCCAGGGGGAGAACCAGGCAGATGGCGCAGTCCACATTCTCCCACCCGCCTGGCCCACCCTTCCCCAGGCATGGGGCCCAGGAAGCTCTTGGGGACATGAGCTAAGGGTGCTGGGTGCACGGTGTGCTGGGCAGAGCTACTGCAGAAGGGTGGCTAACCTCTCCAGCAATGCTGCCTCCCTCCTTCCAGAAAACTCTGGACCCCAAGGCTGTGGGCTGCAGTCTCCTGTTCTCTGCACCTCAGCCAGGGTCTGAGTACTCTTTCTGTCCAGCTATGTGGTTAGGGCAGGCATTTGCCCTTTCTGGGCCTCAGTTTCTCAATCTATAAAGTGGGAGTGGGGGAGTTCCTGCCGGTTGCCTTCCTGGCCAGGCTGAAGCAAATGCAAAGGAACCCTATGCAGGTAACCACCTGCAGGGCACGGCTGCTCTCCAGTTGGACAAAATGAGACCAGAGAGGGCAAGGGCTTTGCTGAGGTCACACAGTGCTGTGGGGACCCTCCACACCTTCTAGACCAGGAATGAAAGAAAGAGGGGTATTGCACAGTCCTGGCCCCAGAATTACCCAGCCCTTGGATGGAGTCCGTGGCCTGTCCCTGTCTGTCTACCATCTTCCACATCCTCAGTTTTCCTTCCTATAAAATGAGTGTGATGATAACAGCAGAGTGTTGGAGCCGACTGTTAAAGTCTCAGGAATTTTAAAACTGGTTGTTAAACTGCCAGTATTAAAAATTAAATAATGCACATACAATTAAGTAAATCATATTTACAACAAAGGTAATAAATCCTCATCACATCCTAATTATTTTACTGCATTTTCCTATTACCTGTGATCCTGAGGTTATTTACATCTATGGTATCTGCACAGTGAAACTACTGTAAAATGGGCTACTGCACGTCTCTTCCCCCCAAAAATGCTTTCAATGATGTCACCTTGGTAGGTTGAATTAGCCATGGTGGGAATATTTATGCCCTGGAAATTGGCAAACACTACAAATCAAGGCTCCCCACCCCTCATCTCCCAGAGAGCTGGTTGTTAAACATTTATATCACATTGCTGGTTGATACTACCAGCTGCATAGACTCACAGAGGCTTCCTTTGTGCCAGGCTCTGAGCACTTTATCCTTTCTGCCACCCCATGAATTTGGACCATCATTATCAACTCCAGATGAGGAAACAGAGGCCCAAGAAGAAAAATCACATGTTGCTGAGAAGCAAGGCTGGAATTAGAATCCAGGTGCCTCCAAACTCCAGAACCTGGGTTCCTAACCACAGTGGTTTCTTGTCTCTGAATAATAACAGCAGCAACTTCAGTCTGCAAAAAATTAATGAGACTATAGAAGTGAAGTGCCTCACATAGAACAGATTAGAACTTCTTAAGTGGGTGACATTACTATTATTATTCAGCAAATGGGGCTCAAGGAGTCTCAGGAATGGTGGGAGGCAGAGAGGGAGGAATTCAGAATGGTGTTCTAGAAGCTTTGAGAGCCCAAGGGCTCTGCGGGGTGAGGAGTCGGGTCTTGGAGATGGGTTGAGCGGGGTTGAGTCACCAATCCCTTCCCAGTCCTTGCACAGAAAACTGCAGTTCTCCAAGGCACCACACGGGAGCAGCAGACCACCTTCCTAAACTTGGAAGCCCACCGCACTTTAGGGCCCACCCAGTCTACCCCATCCCCAGTACTGTCGCACCCCATTTCCCCCACCAGGGGATTGAGGCTTAAAGAGGGGAAGGCCACAATGCGGATGAACCTTGAAAACAGTATCCTTAGCAAAAGAAACCCAACACAGAAGACCACCTTGGTATGATTCCGTTTACATGAAATGTGAGAAATAGGTAAATCCCTGGGGCTGGGAGGAGAAAGGAATGGGGAGTGACTGCTACCGAATCACAGGAGTTTCTTTCCGGGGTTACAAAAATGTTCTGGAGTTAGTGGCGATGGCTGCCACAGCCTTGTGCATATACTAAAAACCACTGAGTTGTACACTTTAAAATTAAGGGTGAATTTTATGGCATGTGAATTATACATCAGTAAAAAATTAAATTAAAAAAAAAAAGAGTACCAGCAGTGGTCACAGCTCATCACAAGCCACTTGGTTCCAGCTCAGGGTACCTTCTGATTACCAGGGCTCCATGCTGACCTGGGGAGGACATAAGCCTGTCCCTCCCTGACCCTTCGCCACCCAACCATCCCCTCCCCCACAACCCATTGTCTGGCAAATCCAGTCCTTGAACTGAGGCCTTCAGACCTTGGAATCTGAACCTCTGACCCACTTCCCCCAGCCATCATGTCTCTGAAGTCCACCCCTGAGCCCAGCCCCTGACCCTAATGCTGGCCCTAACCCCAATTCAACCATAACTTTGCCTAGGCAAGTGACCACGCATCCCAGGGCCTGGGATGCTGTGCCTGAGCCCCTGAGAAGCCTCCTTAACCTAACGCGGAGCCTTAAAAATGCCCCTAATCTTGCATCTAACCTTACCAATACCAACCCATTCCCAGTCCCAACTGCACCCATCTCTGTCTGCGACTTCCAGTGCTTAGTTTTGACCTATTAACATTCATGCATTAGTTAACGACTCTTTATTGAGCTCTTACTATGTGCCAGGCACACTTCTAGGGATGTGAAGATGAAAAAGGTAAGCAAAATGTGCTTTGAGTTTATATCCAAGTGGGAGAGTCAGAGACTCTGCAAGGGAGAGAGAGGAATCCAATCCCTTGAGATTCTAGAAGGTACTACAAAGGGACTGACCAATCAGAGCCATGTGCCTGGGGGGCGGGAAGGGTGCAGGGGGTCTAATGCTGTGGCTGGCCAGGGTACCCCTTCAAGAAGGGACACTGGAGCTGAGATCAGGATAACTACCGGAAGAGGGGACCATGGAGAGACCTGAGGACAGGGGCTTTTAGGCAAAGAGAACCACACTTCCAGGGTCATGCTGGGTGCCACCCCCTTAGGCCTCTCATCCCAGCCTCTGGGCCCAGCAGAACCTTCCTCAATGTCTTCACCCCATATCAGGGAACCCAGGAGAGAGCTCTGGGCACACATCCAGTATGAGGTGTCTTCTAGGGTGCCCAGGATGGTGTTGTCACTTGGGAGGCGTGAAGAGCAGGTGGGGGGGGGGCTGATTCCGCCCGGGGTGTGGGTGAGGGTGGAGGCTGGACTGTGGCCCGTCCTTCCCAGACCATTCCCAGACCAACCGCAGCCTGGCCTAAAAGGGCAGACAGATAACAAATCCTTCCCGCCCCTGGCCCCGAGAGGGAGGGGTTTCCTGACAGGAAATTGACCTCCTCTACCCCACCAAGACCCAAGCTTTCCACAGTCCTGGCTGAAGTAGCCTCAGGACACGACAGCGCAGGGACAGAGGGACAAGGCATTAAGGAGGGGGTGAGTGCGCTGGAGGAGGGGGCAGGGTTCACACGACCCCCTACCCTCTACCCCCAGGGGCCCCCTGGATCTGGGCTGGACAAGAGTTCTGAGAACATGTGCCCTGCAGCCAGGAGTGGCTGCAGCAGAGGGGGAATCTAGGGCCTGACTTGGGAGGGTGCCAGCCAGAGAGTAGGAGGGGATGGGGTCAGGATGAGGGGACAGGGAGCCAGAGAGACTGCGAGGGAGGGAACGTGGAGAGTTTGGATTCACCGAAGGAGGAGAGAGATGAAGCGGCAGAGACAGGCCTTGGGACTGATGCCCTTTGAGTTCAGGTGGGGAGACTGAGGCTAAAGAGGGGTATGTGCTTTGTTCTATCTCCGAGAGAAGGGGTCTTGGAGATGGGAGAGGGGACGAGGGTTGGGACAGAGATGGAGCAGGAGACAGGAATGGGAACGGGGCTGGGAGTGAAGATGTGGATGAGCTTGAAATAGGCAAGGCTGGTGACAGGACTGTTGGGGAGCAAGGTCTGGACTGCGGTTGTGTTGGCTGGTGTCCGGCTTGGGCGTGCAATTTGCAAGGGCAGTTCCCTAATGCCGTGACTGGAGGCGATGACTTCTGCAAACAGGTTGGGCCCGCCTGTGCCTGCGGAGAGGGTTTGGGGCTTTGGGGAAAGGCTGGCATCGAGGAAGAGGAGGAGGGGCCCCAAAAGGGAAGCTCTGGCGGCCAAGACATCCTGCAGGAGCTGGGAGGCTGGGGGCTTGAGGGTTGTGTCGGAAGTGAGTCAGGGGCTGGGCACTGGAAGGCAGATGAGGGGGCTGGAGTGGGCAGGATATAGGAGCCAGTTTGCAGAGCCAGGAAGGGGGAAAATGCCGGGGTCAGTTTTGGGAAAATGCTGCAGCCATGTCTGAGAGTGTCGGATATGGTTTTGCAGCATGGAATCCAGTTTGGGGGTTGATGTGGGAGCCAGTGGCAGAATGTCACATGTAGTTGGGGCAATGTTGACTTCAGTTGGAGGGAAACTGGAGCCCCCTCTTTTGAGGTGGGATGCTAGAACCAGTTCTGGGGGATGATGGAGCCATTTGGGGGTTGAGGCATATGGAAGCCAGTTTGTAAGATGAAAGACAGAATGGTGTGTGCATGTGTATGGGGGAGTGGGGCTGGAGCCATGGGGGGCTCCAGGCAAGGGTTGCCATGGTGACTGCCTCCCTGGGGGATAGGGGACTATGGAGACTGAGGAGAAGTTGGAAGATGTTTCCAGGAACCAGAGGCTTGAGAAATGACAGCTAAGGTCTAGAAGCTGAAGTCAGGGAGGAAGGAGGCTCCCCACCTGGAAAGAAGAGCATCTTGCCTGTGGCCCAGCCAACACAGGGCGCCTGCAGCGTCAGCCTCCCCCCAAGCTCCCATGCACCCACACCCACCTGCCCAGAATCCGCTCCTTTCTGCCCCCACCTGCTTAGAACATGTCCTGGTTCAAAACAACCAGCCACAGGAGAGCATGTGAACGGTTGACACTTTATACAACTTTGTCAGTTACGCAGTGGATTAGTAGGCAGCACTTAAAATAAATCAACTAGAGCCAGAGACAGGCATGGAAAAATCTCCCATGTAATGTTTATGTCCCACAAAAAACATAGTGCCATAGCATTTATAGAGTTAGAAACAATGTAAAACAATATATTATTTTTGGAGGCAAGTCTGTATAGGCACAGAGTAAAAGTTGTCTTGGATGGATGGACTGCAAATTCTAGATGGGCTACGCTGGGAGAGGGCGAGAGGGAGCCTGCTCAGGGTTAGCTATGGGGTTTCAGTGCTTTTGTAGAGCTTGATTCTTAAAAGCTCCAAACCAAAGAGAATGAATTGAATGTTTGATTAGAGCAGTTCGGATTGTAGGCACAGGGGGTGGTTGTTAAGTTTGTTCTACTTTTCTGAATGTTTGGACTATTTCATCATTGTAAAAAGCACCCTTCCGTGGCTGTCCAGTGCCCCCAGGAGAAAGCCCAGGGCCCCCCGGCGGGGCATCCAAGGCCCTGCAGGGGCTGCTTCTGGTTGACCTCTCTAGCTTGACTCATCATTCCTCCTCCCCCACCAGAAATGAAGTCCTTGCCTCCTTCCTCCATTTCCTGTTTGGCACCCATTCATTCCCTGAGTGCCTGCCCCGGGAGCTGAGGACACAGTGGTGACCAAGACAGCTCACAGTCCAGTGGCCACCCAGACCCATCCCCAGACAGTGCTGACCCAGAGTGGGCAGGGCAGGGGAAGGGGGAGTCTGGGAGGAGCGTGCACCTGACTCAACTGGGCATCAGGAAGAGCTTCCTGGAGGAGGGGGCATTGGGGTTGGGTCCTAAATCATGACTGGAGCATGGAGACTAGGCTTTCCCGTGGAGGATGAGCAGATGCTGAAGCCCAGAACAGCCTTGAGTAGGGAGGAGGAGACTGTGAGAAAGCCCTGATGAGGTGCATAGCTGGCAGGTAAAGGGACTGAATCTTGTCCCAAGGGCCCTGGGGGACCATAGATGGTTAAGAGAAAGTTTGTGCTTTAACAAGGTCCTCAAAAGTGGACTGAAGAGGCCAACACTAGAGGCTGGAGATCAGGGCAGAGGCAGCAGGGAAGCGGGAGAGGGCTCGGGCTGGAGCAGAGGCCATGGACAGGGAGGACACGAGGGACTTGGGAGATGGAGCGAGTAGGACTCGGAAGGCTTTGAGCCTCATGAAAGCAGGGACTGGGTCACCTTGGCCTCTGCTGTGTCCCCAGTGCCTGCACAGAGGCAGGCCAGCAAATACCTAGTAAATCTTTTGTTTTTGTTGTGGTAAAATATATAGCATCAAGTTCACCATATTAACCATTTTGAAGTGTTTGATTCACTGGCTTCTAGTCCATTCGCCACATTGTCAACAATTGCTACTATCTAGTTCCAGAACATTTTCATTCTCCTAAAGGAAAATGCTGTTTCCATTAAGAGGTCACTCTCCAGCCCCTGTCCGCCAGTCCTGGGCAACCTAACCCCCTCGTTAGGGTCATTTCCCAGTAAGTTTGTGCTTCTGAAATAAATGGAGCTGGGTTGAGGTGACAGTGGTACTGGCTGGACAGGGGAGAGGGGGCAGGTCCCCAGGGGTGTGACCCAGATGTCGGAGTAGACACTGGGGCCTGGGTCCCCGTGCTGTCTTTGCCCTCTGTTGGCTGTGACACCTTGGGAAAGACCCTTCCCGTCTCTGAGCCTGTCTCTTCACGGAGTAGGAGGACCGGCTGGGATGACAAACACTCCAGGGCAGACGTAAGGCTGGGAAAGGGTCTGAAAGCCACACCCAGGGGAAAGGACCCAGGCTTCAGAATCAGACAGGCCTGGAGGTGAATGCTGGCTTTATCCCTAAATCACTGTGGGGCCTTAGACCAGCACCTGTGCTCTTCTGAGCCTCAGTTTCCTCATCTGCAAAATGGGCTTCATAATAGTACTCATTGGGATTGTGCCGATCCAAGGGGATCTGAAGTGCCCAGACCAGTGCCCAGCATGCGCGCACCAAAGTGCTGGGTGCACAGATGCACTGTCCCCAGTACCACTGATGGTCCATTATTTTTCCCCCAGGTCCCTGCCTATCAAAATGCCCATCCTGAAGAGTCTAGGGATGGCAGACGCTAAGATGCCCCGGGTGCAGACCCTGCCACTGAGGTCCTCTCGGAACCCCTTTGAGGAAGTTCCAGGGCTGGAAGAAGAGGAGGTTGGGGAGCTTGGGACCCTGCCCAACGGGACATCTTGCCGCCGCCGGGCCACCCTGGAGAAGTTGGCAGGCCTGTCCCCCTTCCGGCTGGGCTGGACTCCTGGCCGGCGGGCAGGCAGCCCTGGGGACGGGCCACCCCGCTCTTTCCTGGGCCGCATGCTGACGCCAGGGATACGCAGGAGCTCAGCAGATTTTGGCCTCCTGGCCAGGCTTCAGGGGACCCGAGCCCAGGGTGACGAGGAGGCAGCTGGGGAGACAGCCCGGAGACTGGCTTTCCTGAAACTGGGGCGAGGGCCCAAGCCCCGGCGGGTGTCACTGGCTGAAAGGGTGGTACCTGCAGGCGAGGCAGCTCCCGAGCCCCCGCCCAAGGTCCCTGAGCCCCCCAAGGCGAGGGAGCCCTTGTCAGGTGAGTGGGAGCCCTGGGGGGGACCTGGGAGGATGCCAGGGCCTCCACCTGTGCCCCCACCTCCATTCACAGCTCCAACTTCCCACTGCCTGCCTCCAGCATCACCCCACCTCCTCTCCTGTCCCCAGCCTGGCCCTCTCTCCGCCTGCCACCTTCCACCTCAGCCCAAGTCCCTCAGACAAGTTCATCACCAGCTGTGCTCCAGTCCCTTCCCTTCCCTCCCCTTGAATGCAAAGGAAGCTGACCCCACGCCCCTTGCCATCCACGCTTCCAGCCCCACCCTGACCCTGGCCATCCCTCCTTCTCCATCCCCAACCTCTTCTCCCTCTCCACCCCACCCTGAGCCCCAGCCCCAACTCCTTCCATCCTAAGACATCCCCCCAGCCTCCACCTTCAGCTCCATCCCTGCCTGAGCTCCTGTCCAGACTTCAGGGTCAGACTCAGCCCCTGCCCTGGGTCTGCACTCCCGTCTCTGGGCCTTCGCATCATCTTCCTCTGTGCGTGTCTGTCTTGGTGTCCAGGCTCCCCCTTTGTAAGGTCAGCAGTTATACTGCATTACAACCTGCCTTGTGACCTCATTTTTTAAAATTTTTTAATTTTGATATCATGAATGTACAATTACTTGAACATTATGGTTACTAGACTTCCCCCATTATCAAGTCCCCCCTACATACCCCATTACAGTCACTGCTTTGTAACCTCATTTTAACTTGACAGACTCCTGTAAAGAACCCCTTCTCCAAATAAGGTCCCATTCTGAGGTACTGGGGGTTGGGGCCTTACACGTCTCTCGTCTCAGGTGGGACACAATTCAACTCACAACACCGTCCTTCTGTGTCCCGAACCCCTATACCGCCCAGACCCCAGTGTCTTCCTCAGTGCCTCTTTGGTTTCCCACAGCCCTAGCAGTCATCTCCACCTGGAGACACAGCGCACACTCGTCCCAGCTGATCCCGTCCTCCAGACGCCATCTTTACTCCATCTCTGTGCCCAACACCATTCCCACCAGCAGGTCCAGTCCCAGCCCAGGCTGGTCCCAGCCACCCCAAACCCGTCCCCCATCCCCACGAACAACTTCAGCCCTTTTCCCTCCTCCCTCCTCCTCATTCAACCCCATCTTCAACCTCACCCTCAAAGGCAGCCTCTCCCTTCATTCTCAGTCCCAGTCCACCCCATCCGAGGTCCAGTCCTAACCCCCACTCCCCACCTCCGTCTCTGTCCCATTCCTGACCCCAGCTCACGTCCAAGCTCATCTCCAAGCTCGCGTCCACCTCTGCTTCCCTCCCACTCTCAGCTGTCACCTGACCTCCCCTCCACTCACATCTCCAGCCCCCTCCTTCCCCAGCCCCGGTGTAACTCTCAATTCCTTTCCCATCCCCTCTACACACTTCAACTCCAACCTCATCCTCATCCTAGTGCCCTCACCCACCCACCCCCACCTTTATCCCCATCCTCATCTCCAGTCCCATCCCTGGAGCTCCATCCAGGTCCCCAACCCAGTCCCAACCCCCACACTCATCCAACCCCAGCCCCAGCCCTCGCGGCCCCTCGCCCTCTGGCTGCGCTGGGGACCTCGGAGAGCCTCTTTGGCGTCCTCCTGTGCCCTCCAAGTCCTGGCCACAGGCTGTTTCAGCCCTGGCTCCCAGGGGACTGGGAGGGCATGGCTGGGAGGTGAGGAGGGGGTGACTGGAGCTCCCGCCTTCTGGAAACGGATGGGCAGAAATAGCCCTGGCCAGGAAATAGTTTCTCTGCCAGGGAGGAAGTGGAGGGGGTGGAGGTGTCGGGGTAACCCTGGGCCGCCCTGGGCTGCCAGGACCCTCCCTTTGCTTTCACTCAGAGGCCTCCCTCCCCCGCCCCCCACGCCCCTTCTTTGAGGAGTCTGAACTCAAGGGTGCCAGGTCACCCCCGAGCTGCTTTGCCTCCGAAAGACCCGACCTCTGGTCTTGCTGTCCCCTCCCCACAAGCCGGCCCGACCCTGCCCCCTCATCGGGGCTCCTCTGCATCCCCTCTTACCTGGCGGCCCGCAGCCCTCCATTCTCTGATCCCTTTTTCTATCCTCGCCCCTCAATTCCCCTGATGTCTCCACAGAGCGCAGCCCGCCCCCATACCCTCTGCCCCCCTTTCCCCAGCCCTCACTCTCTCCCTTCTTCCTCAGCCCCTCCCCCTCCCCTTCCCCTGGCCTCCCCCAGCCTCCTCCTCTCTTGACCCCCTCTAATGTCCTGACCTACTCCCCACATCCACACTCTCTCCCATTCCCAGGCCCCTCCTCTCCTAACCCTCTCCCGGCCCCCTCCCCGGGCCCTCTGCTCACCCTCCCGTCCCAAGCCCTGGCCCCTTCCCGCCCCGTCTTCCTCTTCTCTCCACGTGCCTCAGCCTCCCGCCTTGACCTCCTCTCCCTTCTCCCGCCCCAGCCCCAACTTCCTCCCCCGCCTCCCTCACCCTGCCCCCCACATCCCTCAT